TCACTCTTGACTGCTCAGCCTTGACAAGGACAGGTATTGCCGTTGAAGGTGAGAGAGTCTTAGGCATTCTTGCAATCAGTTTGATGTTAGCGTCATTCAGTCACGCAGCGCTAGAGAGGTACATCCATCAGTAAATAATTAGTGTGTATCCCAAAAAGGAAAGAGGAGAGTACCAAGACACCTTCGCCACAGTGGCTCCAGTAAGCTTCAGCCGCACTCGATCAGCCACAACTTACGTCCCATCTTGCTCGCTTTCTGGCTCAGGCTTGGAATTGTTTTGTTGTTCACGGCGAAGTTGACGATGCGCAACATTGAGGAATTACGGGCTTATAGTCCAGGTATCAATTGGAGCTCAGGCAGTCTAGACCTTCGCATTTTCCATAGCTGCACGAAGCTGTGTTCTGCTCGCATTGAAATTGGATCTGCCGCTTGAAAGGATCCTGTGTTGATTTTGGGCGCACGTCCCGGTCAAAGCTGTCCTTATTTCCTTGCTAGTCGGACTTGCGCTTCTGACATGCAACAATCTATTCGTGGCTGTGATGATCTTGTCCGAGCTAGCCATGGACCACAATTGCTCCTCACCAATGTTCCCTCTAGCCTGAAATCGGCCAGTCGATCTCTAGTCCTCAGCACAGTGCACGATCTGTAGCTATGGATGTTTTGGAAAAATTAGCTTTTCCTAGATGGACTCACTCACTATGATAGTCACAATGCTGGATCAAGAGCAGAGTTCATCTAAGCCATGGACGATCGAATGGTCGGTAACCTCATTAGGAAGATTACCATCAGGCCCGATCGCTTTCGATCGACCGTAACCCCGGATTTTCGACTAGTGCGGCTCTCTATCCAAACTCAATGCTGAGTGCGTACCATAGTTTCAACTTTATCTTCTATTATTTTTGAGACATTCACTGACAATGGTAGGGCACAAGACTGGCAACCATCATGATTGCCTGAGACTACCTTAGAAACGGCATGAGGTGTCATTTCCAGGCTACTACTTGAGACAAGAATATGTACTCTATAGAGGTGCTTGCTACATAGTATCAATAAGCGCAACAGCGGTTGAGGACGTCGACGATCGCAGAGATATCTGCCTTTACACTTTGAATCTTTTCCAACAGCAGAAGCTGCAGACCCCTGCAGCACGGGCCTGTCTGCTGTAAGGAGATGGCCGGAGATTTGATTATCACCAGATCATCCCAAGGGTTCCTGCGGTGAGGGAATTCGTTACACACATTCAGGAGGCCCGCCAGCTCGATGGTGGAACCTGTTCCTGGTCCTACCTCCCCCTCGATTCATTCAATATATTGAATGGCGGGGAAGGGGAGGTAACACACGTTCTGTCTTACCTCTTATCGAAATTCTCAAACCTGGCCAGCATAGTTCTGCGAATCTGTTGGTTGGAATAGAGGATAATTGTGTCGAGTTCGATGTTGATCGGACAGACTTGGAGAGAAGCACCCGTGCTGTTGTCAACAGCCAAGATGTGAGCACTACGGCATGCGTGTCTCCTGCGCCTCTGAACGGCGGTCAATTCTGCGGCATTGCAAGCCAGCCTCGGTGATACTGAACTGGGTTATCGAAAATCATCAAACCATATTGATTATCATGGAGATCATGTGGGGATCCTCTGACACAACGGGATCAGCAGTCAGTGCATCTGCGCCCTTGACCGCCAGTGAGCTTATGGGGCTTGTATTGGCTTGTATTGGCTTGTGCGAAGCTAGTCTTTCTGTTTTGGGAAATGGGGCTCTGTACAGTGTCGGTCAAGCCACCGAATTGCACCCACCCAACGACCGTCGGACAATTTCTCCCTGCTGTACAAATCAATAGATTTGCGAGAAGAGATAGATTGACGTGCCATGCATGAACGCCCAACAACGGAGCCTTGGAAGGGTGTTCCAGGAAGTTTTCGTTTCGACTTCTAGGAGGTCTTTATTGATGGATTGATTCGCCTGAAAATCCTCCTGCATCCCAAGTCACGAGTTTTTGCATTGAGAAGGATGAGAGTAAGCGCGCTGCAGGTACGTCCAAAAGGTTTCAAGGAGCCCAGTCTCAGTAAGCCGAATCTGGCTGTCCCGGATCCGCATGGGCCCTGCGTCAAGTCCTTGACCAGAAAGATGGGAGTCGTAACGCTGAGAAGATTCTCTTCGAAGTACCAACCTTCCAAGCACGATTCAAATCATGATCTACAACCGTGAAAGGGCACAGCAGCAAGGTTCATGTCTGTCTCACCTGCTGCTCAGTCTCCCGTGCTTCGTTCTATGTCGGTCTCATCACCTGCTCATGCAGGGCACGGCCTATAGTTCTTTGGTTCGAGCTTGTCCTGTGCGAGTGGGTTGGAATGTCCAAATCTCAAAAAGCCAAAGCTCCAGCCATCGTTGTGCGAACCCCTTGCGTGTTTGCTTTTTCCTTCTGGCCTGATCAAAGCGTCCAATCAATGAATTTGAGCCAGCTTCTTCTCTTCCACCAATGGCAGGAGCACACAACAATCAATAAATCTCGTCCATTTTTGAGTTGCATTGCATTGCATAGAAAAATTATTTTTCTCAGGTCATTTTGTCTCTCTCTGCAGTGCTTTTTGGCCACGAAAAAAAAAAAAAAAAAAAAGGTTCCCCAAGGGTGATCCGCACTAATGATTTCTGCCCACTCGTGCCTTCAACGCCCGCAAATCCCTGCCTCCAACGGCCCTGAAGCATTCTGGGGAACTCGGAGGGCCGAGAATAATAATGGCATTATGGCCTTGCTTGTCGACGCTTATCAATCCCATCCATTCCTCGATTACGTCATTTTATCGGTCCATTACCGTCTCGGTTGACCTGCAGCCTGTACGACCTTTCTGGGACTATTGGCTCTCTGATCCGGATCGATCGGGAAGGACTTTATGCATTGTACATCAATCTCGGTCTCGGGTATGGGTTCGAGGCTGTTGATCCTTCACCGTGGCCATGAGCCAATCCATGTTCGAGCCTGCAGCCTATGCCAGTGGATACGGATTCAGTTGTTCATTTGACCAGAGCAGTATGCCAGTACCTGATGACCTTGTTCAACATGCCAATGACTCCTGCCGACTAGCCAACAGCTCCTCTCCAAAGTTTCTCCTAGGTCTCCGGGGTGTTAGAGTCTCAGAATCAGCCGATAACTTGGTATAGGAGGTTTCAGAAGTACTGAGGACCCAAGCGGTGCATTGGAATGTGCAGATAAACTGCTCTTCCGCTTGGTATGTTTATCGTCCACTTTTTCCCGCCTACCCGCCTCACCAGTTGACAGCACAACTGTACTCGCAAACCCACCATCCACTGTATATTGCCTTAAGAGTCTTACTTTGTACCTCTCGCTGGACCATAAACTGGACCCATTTATCCAAATCAGCTCGCCGACCGTGCAACAACACCCCATCAACAGTCACACCCAAGCTAAGGCGCCAACTGGCATCCGGTTCCCTGGTTTTGGCGTTGGCACTGTCGCACAAGAACCCGGCCACCAAGAAGATCGTCATTTCGCAGGTACCCTGGCGTTTGTCTAGAACCACCAGAAATACTCATAGCGTAGCATTGGACCTGGCAATGTAGTATCCGTGTGATAATCAGTCGTGGTTTTGCTTTGCTTTGCTTTGCCCTGCGACCTGGCTCCTGGGTCACCGTACACCACTTGATTTTGTTTTTCACAATCCAGCCTGCGCAGCCAACATATCTTGCCTGCAGCAGGCTCAGTGTGCTAATGCTAATGCTACAGTCGTATGAGAGCCATGCAAGCTAAGCCGTCCCATGTAGCCATATCCTCACCGAATCCGTAATCTGCAAATGAACCTATCTGACACTCAGATGATGAACTGCGTCGAGCCGTACTGGTCACTTGCTGAAACCCAGACGTCTGGATGATCAGACTCGCTGTCGTAGATACCTGCCCCTGTCCTTTGAGACTGCCCTCTTCTCATGTTGAGGCAGGCGTGTAGACCACTTGGTGCACTAGTCAGGGATCATCTCCTCTAAAGTTATGCTGTTGGGGGTCCATGACTCTCAAGTGCATTGTAGACTAGAATTAGAATTATTCTATATCAGCTCACCTTCAGAGGAATAACTCTGATGGTGATATCTCTAGAAAAGGCGACAATAGCCGATCAGCTTCAAGCTGTATGCTTTAACCTGGCAATGTATAAGACCCTTGTTCAGGATCTGACTAGTAGTGAAACAATCAGCAGAGAGCTGTGATATATATTATGGTATATGAAAAAGAGATTTCATATTATAGCATCTGTACTCTCTTGGGAAATGAACATATCACAGACATGAGGAAGCTTATATATAGCATGCTGATGCTGTGGGTGGATATATAGATAGATATATCTTAGACTACCATCGAGTATCAAAAGATACTTAGGGAAAGATAGCACAGTAGTCCGGCTGTTGTATTCCTATGACATCTTTGATATTCGCAAATACTAAGTTGATTATATATTCAACTGACAGACGAGACCTCTTCAGAGGCTGAGCTACCGTCCTCTGAGCTACCGTTCTCTGCTCAGCTTCGGCAGAGGTTCTATCAAGGTGAGGCGAGATGATATCTCCAATCATTGGATGTATTCACTATCAAGCATATCAAATATCAATCAAATGCGCCTCCTGGTAGCAACCGCAAGCAAATGGAAAATCCTGTACAAATGGTATCAAGTCTGTCCTCAATTCCCCAAAGCCCTTTCCCAAATGATACAACCACCAAGCGTGCATGGAAAGGACAACCCGCAAAATGTCAAACCAGTATCGAGTCAAACGCCAGGCTCTTTTATCGATATTCCATCTGTCCCTGTACAGCCTGCAAATAAAAACAAATCGACGAAGAAAAGGAGTCGTCTCCTGAAAGGTCCATCTCAGGGCAATAGATGGCCACACGAAGGTAGATTCAAATGCATGGCGATAACAAACCCAGAGATCTCATTAGATCGCCCATCGCCTATCCCGAAACGCTGAAGGAGTAAAAAAAAGAAAGAAAAAATCGAACTACTTCCCCATGGCATTGTGCATCATATTCTGCTGCTGTTGTTGCTGCATGACCTGCGCCTGAACAGCTGCCACTTGCGAGGCACGTTGCTGCTGAGCCGCTTCACGTTCACGCCGTATAATCTCCTGCACCCAGGCTTTGGCGCTCCGCTCGAGTCCAATGCTATACTGCTGTGCAATATGGGGCGGATATTGCGTTGGGGGCCCATACTGAGCCATAAACCGAGTAGACATCTCCTGCCGGAGACGTAGCAGGCGCTGTTGGTAGAGTTGGCTGTACCGCTGCGCCATATTGACGCCCTGGAAATTCTGCGGCATGTGTCCAGCATTGGCCTGAGCAGCTGCCGCCATCATCATCTGTTGTTGCTGCTGCTGCTGCTGCTGCTGCTGCTGAGGAGTCATTTGCGGGCTGCCCTGATGGACCTGGCCTTGTTGAGGCTGTGGCTGCTGGCCCTGCGTCTGCTGCTGCTGAGCCATCTGCATCTGGGACCACTGGCTTCGCAGCAGTGAAGCTTGATATGTCTGCTGGTTCCCCAGCTTCTGCTGCTGCGCCTGGTGATTCTGCTGCTGAGCTTGCATCATCTGCTGCTGATGTGACTGAATGTTTTGCTGAGCATGCGCGTTCGCTTGCAACTGGGCAAGCTGCTGCGGTGTGAACTGAGCGGGTCCGAGTTGTCCGTGTTGCGCGAGTAACTGCTGCCGTTGCAGTATCATTTGCTGTTGTTGAGGCGTAAGACCCATACCGCCTCCCATCTGCGGGGTGTTCATCATGGCTTGGCTCATTACTGGTGTTGCAGCCATGGTCGACTGGCTTGGGCTGCCGTGGCTCATGCGCTGGGTGGGTGTGACGTTGCGCATAATCGGAGTTGCATGGGACATGGCCGGTGTTCCCTGAGTCATCTGAGGAGTGCCGTGCCGACTCTGGCCCTGCTGGCTCCTCGACGGCGCCATCGGATGGCTCATCATATTCGGATGACCGTGTTGTAAGGCCGACGGGGGCCGCGGCGGGCTTCCTGCACCCTGCGCAGAAGATGTCATGCTCATGGGAACGCCAGCTTGTGTGACCATCGTACTGCCGACCAGTGGTGACGAGGCGTTGAGAGGTGTCTGATTGCGAACCACCGGTGACGATTGGGGGGCCTGGCTGATCCCGTTTGCCTGTGTCATGACATGTCGGTTCTGCTGCTGTGCAGCAAGCTGTGCCTGGGCCTGTTGCGCGGCCAGATGCTGCCTTCGAGCTTCCTCTTTGGCATGCTCCTCTGCTTGACGCTGCTCCAGCAGCCTCCGCCTCTCTCTTTCCTGTTCCTGTTGCTGTCGCTTGGCCAGTTCTTGCTTGACTTTGATCTCGTGTTCCCGCTTGGCCTTCTCCTCATGCTGCATGCGGATATTCTCCAGTGTCTTGAATCTTGAGAAGCGCGGTTCGAATGGCGCACCGCCACCGGTGTCGTCAACAGCAGCGGACTTTGGTCCACCAGCAGCTCCTGACGTGGCCGGCTCCAATCTTTCGTCCATGATGAGCATAAACCGCTCCTCCTCCGCCGCGAGGGCCTCGTCGGCAGCGAGCTCTGCCACAGTTCGCTTCCTTCTCTTCGGAGACGGGGGTGGAGCGCAATGAAGGGGACTTTCCAAATATTTCAGTAGATCTTGCGCTGCTTCCAGACTCTCCACTGGATCCAAGAAAAGAGGCGACGCCAACGCTCGCGTTAGTTTAGATTCACATTCCAATAGGTCCTGTGGTTCTACTAGCATCTTCTGTCGCTTTGCAACATGGCCTCGGTCCGGTGGATTAGAAGCCACCACTGGAGACTGCGGGGCTGTAGAAGACGAGGGTTGCGGGCGGGTGCTCGAGTGTGTGGCGGACTGTTTTGCTGCACGAGGATCAGGCGTGGTAGCAAGCAACGTGAGTTCCGCCTGTAGCGAGCGAGGAGTAGGATGAAGGACGGTCGTGAACACCCGCGGCTTCGCCGGGGGCTGCTTTTGTAATGCAGCCGAGTCATTCTCCTTTTTAGAACTTTCCGAATTGCCCGTTGACTCTTCTTTGTCCTTCTCGTCTGACTGGTTGCCGGCGGCCGCTTCTGTCTTCGTACCAGCGGCCTCGGAAGTTAACTGATTTTGCTTCGGATATGGCACATAAGCCGACGGAGTGATGTGTTCATTGTAGTTGTGTATCGAGAAAGGAGTGTTGTTTCCATTCGTTGATGGCGCAGTCGATTTTCTGGCTTGGGCCGATACTGACTTGTGATCCACCACTCGAACTATGAGACAACCTGCATGCGAAAACCCCTGTTAGCGGCCACAATCGCGCAATGATGCAATAAGGGTGACTTCTGACCTTCGTAGAATCGAACGTTGGCCCGTAATAACTCCTCCATCATGTCATGGGGAACAGTACCGGCACGGATATGCTCGATGACTACCTTCATCTCGGAGTTGTAGGGGAAACTGCCATCTTGTTGTTCAAACCGGAAATGAGTAGGGTGAAGGTGTACGATGAGGGACGGAGGGCATTTAGAGTATTTCCCTAGGATATAGGAAGTCGTTTTAACTGTAGAAGTTGCAATCGTTAGTAAACAGCAACTCGTAAGTCCCAACACTGCAGGAGCTGATCGGCGCCTCACCATGTGGTTCAGGAAATATCTTCCCCAGCCTGGAATCCCTTTCCGCAGTCGGCATCTTCCCCAGTTGCTTCTGGTTTCGCAACGCCTGATCCCCCGACTTCTGCGCATCTTTCTTGGGCCGATTCAGGAGACTCTTGTTTGAATTATTGGTCGAGGTGGAGGTCGAATAGGCGGAGCCATTGATGCCATTCGTGACCGGACCATTAGTGGTGGGTGAGGAAGTCGGTTGATTAGAACCAGGCAGTCGTTTCGATGTGGAGGGTGGGGAGGAAGAGGAAGATGACTGCTGAGGAGGTTTGACCCCATTGACACCACCGGGGACGAAAGGCGGGGGCGGCCGCTTCATCTTGGGGGGATGTGAGGTAGGTTTCGAAATTGCCGTCGCCATGTCGTCGACAATCAAACCCCGCGACGCGAGTACAGTCAGTGTTGCGTGTATGCGACTTATCGGGACACCGATTCGAGGATGACAGAAGGAAGCCGGGCTCCGAGAATAGACGTTGCTATAGCCGATGCGCGAGACATGTGGGGAGCGGAGGGAGCACCGGACAACGACGCGCAAGGGAGAATTGATGCAAAGATCTTGCACGGAGCCTTATGCCACTACAGCACAAGTATACCGGTGTCCATCGAATATACACCTTGCGACAAAGCGGAGTAGGACCGATGAGTGAGTCGGCCAACGCGGTGGTGGCTGCAGAGGGAGTTGATGATGCCAAGCCGCGGGCTACGAGGAGTAGTCCTGTGCTCACATGACCGCTGCTTTGGGTTAGCGGGTATCGGTCTAGTTTGTACATCTATGCCGTCTCAAGGCACCCAGGCATCAAGAAACTATTTGGTCTGACTAGATAAACATTACAATACTATCCTATTGTTAGACTTTCAGAAATAGTATTAAGGACATCAAGTTTCTGTAAGCGAAGTTCGACATCCAGATAATTCTTTGTCATGACAATAAGCTCCCCGTCAGAAGCTTTTTCTTTGTTCAATGCAACCGTTAGCCGGTGCGACACATCCGACTTTCGAGGGAAACAACCCAAACTTGGTGCAATTCAGACTTCTGGGTGCTCCCTTTGCGTTGGTGTGCATCCTTAAGATAATCCACTGCCGAGTATAGGCTCTAAACCGAGAATACCAGCTTTAGGCATCAATCGGAAGTCAAGACACCCTCTTTTGCTGAGACACTTGATTATAGCATCGCCGAAAGCGATGCGAAACACTTCTGCTGGGCGACCCAGGCTGTGTGGACGGTGACAGGAACATGCCTGTTGTGGAGAATCCGCGTAGAGCGGACGAATTGCAGTGCGTAGAGCCGATATTTATGGAGGGGATGCCGGTAGGATCGCGTATCATAATCGATAGTAGATGGGGTTGATTTGATGTCCCCATCAACTCTCCTCCACAACAGCTTGATCAGTCCTCCTTTTCATCTTTTGTAAGCATACCAGTAACAGACTCGAGCGCTTGTGCTTCCGCCATGTCAATTTTCCGTCCGACAATCGGCGGGCTGCCGTTAGCTCCAACCGGTACCTGTCCGGTCCGCTCAAGATGCAGCTTGATTCTACTTTCGATATACTCCCTCCTCTCATCGAACTTGGCATCTGTCTCCAGAATATCGCTGGACTTCGGTAGAGAAACAAGCTTGGGCCGTAGCTGCTTCAACATCGCTTGCAGTGCAGGAAGTTGGGACAGAATAAAAGCCGTATTCGTAGTGAGCGGTGTATACTGGGTATTCGAGCCAGTATTAACCCCCACATGTAGTTGCTGCGCAGCCGGACTGGACGTCAGGAATGAAAGGTCAAGATCCTTTTTGTCCTGTGTTGGTAAAAGGGTTTCGGCCTTGCTCTCTCCAGTCGCGTTCTTCGCGACATCGGGCTCTTGTACTGTCGACAATATCGATCGTAACTGTGATATTACAGCCTCGTTCTGCGCGCTCTCGCGTTTCAAAGATCGGTTCAATTTCTTGGTCTCATTCAACTTTTTGCGGAGTGCGTGGATCGTTTCAGGAGTAGGCGCATTCGGGGAAGGATCAAGAGCAAGGTTCTGCATGAGCTGAAAGTCAATATATGCTCAAGTGGCGCAGGGATGTCGAGGCGCGCAGTCGCGAACACCGGATCTCATACCTCATGATGGCTCAATCTGATCCAATTCAACAAGTCATCGGGCACGGTGAAGATGTTGCGCAGGACGTAGATCTCGAACTTATCGAACGCCTTGTCAACGGTCGCCTCGAGGAGCGTTTCTAGCTGGTGTAGTCCATTTTCGAGTTCCAGTTTGGCTTCCGGGTAAACAACGTTGCCATCTTCATCTGTATCGGGTATCGTAGAGGCATTATTTGCATGCGCAAAGCCCAAGCGTTCGGGGGGAGTTGCGAGTAAACCTGACTCGAGGCTCGAAATGGCCTGGTATATGAGATTGTTGATTGAGTTTATAATATCATCTATGAGAGACTGTGAAGAATTAGCCACATGATAGGGCAAAAGATTTCGCGTTCGCAACTGCAAATCGGAAGACAATCTCGGTGCAAGGAAACGAACCAAGGGTGTATAGCTGAAATGCTCTGTGAGCAAGGAGGTTGTCACGTCATTCATACTGACATAGGTGAAATCATCCGACAGTACTTGGAGACGGGGACGTGATGGGCTGACGCGAAAAGCGCAAATGCAGGAGACAATATAAGACGCGAAGGACGGCACTTAATGTTTTTTGCTGGTCTGTGTTGCAGAGCTATGATTTAAAAAAGGCGACGTCTTCCAATAGGAAATCTGTTACGGTACAACTCGCGGTGACGATGCAAGGACCACGATAGTACGTGGTATTTCTTCAAGGAACCGTAGTGTTTTGTTCCCACGTTGGCATCGCCGCCTCTTGAAGGTGCACAGACACAGGCCTGGTTACTATATAGATACACTCTAGGCCTATGGAATGCATCAGTAGTGCGTATCAGGATGACAGTACAGTACACTACCAAAAAAGTGGTGGTGTTACTAAGGTAGATTTAGCGCGTCCTCGAGGTGCCAATCAGTTTGTCTCATAATTGTAAAGTGCGGCTCGAATCATTCAAGGAATCCGATATGGTGTAGTGGCTAACATCGCCGTCTCTCACACGGCAGCCGGGGGTTCGATTCCCCCTATCGGAGCTCAGTTCTCTTTTTGCTTTTTGCTTTTCCCCCTCTTCTAATCCGTCATTTCTGTCCTGTTTGTCGACCCAGGGCGTTGCTTTGGGATAATCCACCTAAGCTTCGGGCTAGACAGTGATTGCCAACCGGATCTTAGTGTATCACTCATAATGAGTCATCTCCGTATTGAGCAGTCACACCATAAGTTGGAGGATGCCGCGCCACAATTTTGACTCACCCAAAGCAATAGCCAAGCTAGGATTGGGCGAAAGCAACTATCACTTTCGCATCAGTTGCACCCCAGACCAGCTAGCCCCATATTAGGCGACGAGGCATGCCAGAATCAAGTGCTACTGGAGTCATTACAAGGAGACCAGGTGAAATAACTGAAAGTCACTCTTTGTTACGGTTGCACAAAATGTAGATTGAGAGTCGACTTGTCAAGGTGAATCTTATGTGAAGACATGCCACCCTATTCAGGTTATAAGTATGATGGGCATGCCCTTCGAACTCGAACGTGTCGAAACATAGATTAACATTCACATTGAGATTGGAAGCTTTTGCAAATATTCGTTGTTGACCATGGACTCTGATCTATCCCCTATATCTCAGGAACATAAGACTAGCAACAATCTAGCAACCAGTGCACAGAATGAAGATATCTCAAGCTCATCGCCAACTGCAATACCTCACACAGAGCCTGATGAATCGCATGACTATGCCTCGTCAACGTCAAAAAGTTCAACTTCTGCGGAGAACAGATTACGGCCAGCGGCAGGTATTGTGTTTTTACGCCACTTTTCACCAGCATTGATTGACAAAATTGGGTGCAGATGTCATTAACAGGCTCATTTGGGACACCAAATTTGACAGTAATGACTACACCATTGGATACGAGGACCGATTCAATGGACGTTTGGAGGCGAACCTGAGCTCATGGAAGAAGGATCTGACCGACGAAGAGTTCATCCCGCAGCATCGCATACTCTATATCAAACGCAAGTCCGACGGGGAAATCGTCTGGGACAAAAGAAGGAGGACCGATAAGATCTTTCTGAGTGGAAATTCTGCTTTCGACTTTCTGGGGTTTCTGGCTTAGGATTCGAAGATGCCCAAGCAGGCATAACTTCCAGTTCCTTCAGTGTATCAATACTCTGCATGTCGATAGATTACCATCTTATGAATTGTACTATGTCTGGTGGGCCTTTGGGTCTTTAATTCCTTGTCTCCATTTGTCGTCCTAGGGTGTTTGCTTCCTGCCGTGTGGAAGTGTAGATGAGCTTTCCTTATCCTGCACTCAATTGCAGGAAGGTGCGCAGAAGCCATGCTCCAAGTCAAGCCAGAGGAACTGAAGTCGGAAGGAAGGGGAAACTGTTCTGTGTGTGTTAGTCTTTCTTTTCTGTTTCTCTTCCTCAGCGTACCAGCGATCATCAGCCATGAACTCAAGTTCGAGCTCAAGCGGGTGGAGAGTCCGTACAAGGAACTCAATGAGGTCAGTTTCAAGTCGAACAGGCACACTAAGGATTTGATCTGACGATTATTTGCTAGAATGGACCTCTCTTTCCTGAGAAGACGTCACAACTACTCGACGACCTCATCCACAAGTCTTTCTCCAACTGTACCGGTGCTCCAATCCCCCGCAATGTTCCAAGCGTTGACGAGCAAAACGGTCCCGGAAGAGACTCTAAAGCAAAAGAACAAATTGGAAAGAGCTGCAATTAAGCCGTCCATGTTCTTCGAGGATAAAGAGGAAGATGACAATGTTGACCCTGATTTGAAGCATGGCGTTTCTCCGGATGCTCAATCAGTCCACGTCGCGCACAGGAGTGTTGATGATGATGAGCAGCCACCTCAGGCAAAGAGTCGCTACTTCGAAGACCTGTTCAACACTTGTGGCCCGCTTATCTCCCCAAGAACTCGCATCAGCAATGACTCCGTCGTCGTGATCGAAATCAAGACGAACTCGAGGGTGTGTAAAATCATAGATTCATGGTCATTATCTGCGCTAACCCTCTTGATTTAGATTAGTTACGACGATTCAAAGCTTGCCTCTGACCTGACTAGCCGTTTGGCTCAAATCTATCAGAAGCCCGATGCCTTCTTGATGGTCACTATCCAGCAAGATGCATGTCTCTATTTTGGCAACTCCGCACTTCCCGCGTATTTGATGAAAGTCTTCGCCTTGCCACATCTCATCGCGCCAATTACCAACCTGCGAAACACAATACTTATTCAAGCAGCACTCCAGGACCTGCTTCACGTTGCGCCGAGCAGGGGTGTTGTCTTGTACATCCCAATATCTGAAGAGAACTTTGCAACAAATGGAGTGACTATGATGGGTGAAATCGCCCGGCTAGAAGGCCACGCCGAAGACCAGGATGCCGGGATACTCAGAAGTATCTCACGGTCGATGAGGCGGAGGATGAAATCAAACAGCACCACTAGTGCACCCTTGTCTGTGGAAACTACTTCCTCTTGGACTCCTGGATTCGATCCGCGTCGGCGAGGCTGCAACGATGCTGGAAGAAGGAATGTTTCCAGTGAAGGAGAATCTAACACAGTCAGAAAGTCTAGGAGCATGCGAGACTTTGTTTACCCCGCCGTTCAGGCTTCGGATCTGTAGGCGAGGTTCATCAAAATCTGGCTATACCACCTGTTCAGTCTTTACTGCGGCTTTGATCGACAATGGTGAGGACGTATATTGTTTACTTTTCTTGGGAAATTGGGTATTCCTAGCGATGTTAAATGAACGCAGTGTGAAGCGTGTATGAGAGGTCTGAAGCCACATGTAGCAAATTCAGTGAGGCTCTAATTACAATCGTTCATTGCGTTGTAGACTGTTCCTTGCTAGACGTGTAATGGCGCAGTTGTGTAATGGCGCAGTTAAGCTCGTGTCCCAACATCTTTCATTGCAGTGACTCATCACTTGGCTTCTCTGACTTCTTTTTAAGCAGAAGGAATAGGGTCAATTTCAATTGTTACAAGAATAGTCGAGGATACCTGCTCATTTTCACTTGATCCTACTACCGCTGACCTCGACGTAAAGGTCTCTTCCACCACTCACTCACACGGTATCGAATTCCCCAGTCTCAACCGCAATGGATCTACCTTCAGTAAAAAGCAAAATAACAGAAATTGAGGGCAACCTTTTTAATGCTCCAGACGGTGCAGCTCTAATCCGTGAGCAAACCCCATGATTCATGATCTCAGTGCGTCGCAGTAACTGATTTGCTAGACAGACGCCTGCAATTGCCAAGGGTCTTGGGGCAAGGGCATCGCGACGGCTTTCAAAGAAAAGGTAACCCAACACGCTTGATTGAATGTCTCTCGAGCTCTTCAAGGAACTTACCTTCTAAAATAGTATCCAGCTGCCTTTGCGATCTACCGTTCTCACTGCCAAAAACTCCTGTCCAGCCCCAAGTACAGGCTTGAGCCTGCAGCACAGAGCGAAGAGTCCCATGCAAGAAACTCTCGAAGCATACGACTACCAGAGGGCACTGCGTTGATCATCCCTCCTCAGAAAAGCGACTCGGAGGCGAAAGGCAAGAAACACTGGATCATCTGTCTATTCACATCTCGCGGCTTTGGGCGGGCCGTCAGTCCCCCGGATGTCATCGTCAGGAACACCGAACTCGCTGTGGCAGATATGAAAAGGCAGCTTGCGGAATTACAGGCGGATCACTCTTCTCAGGAAGGGTCAGTTGGTGAGTTGTGGTCTTGCCGGTTCAATTCTGGGTTATTTGGAGTTGCTTGGGAACGCTCGCGGAGGGTTTTGGAAGATGCTGGGCTGGAGGTAACTGTGGTTCGGCCTCATGGGGGATGATGGGTTTCTTGTTGATAGGGTTTTGTGTAAAGTGAATTGCCCCCATTATGTATTTGGAGTAAGAGTGCGCGCTGACAGTATCGCATCATGAAGCAAAGGTAGTACTCTGTAGCTGTTCTATATATATGCTCTGGAGTATTAATATGGAGAATGAGACCACATACAAATTCCCACAACAAAGTATTACGATTACCTGACTCTTGTATACCAGGTCGCAAGTAAGGGAATTTTAAAGAGCCTCGAGCATATAAAGCCACAAATGAACACCAGTGATGCGTCTGACAGCGCAAAGGGTAAAAGGATACAGGCTACTATGAACCACGTGACCTCGCGTCTCGGCCGCGACTCGTGTCTTCGGCTTCTGCGTGTCTCAAGCCAGGCTTCCGATCACAAAGCATACACATATTACCGGGAAAATAGTAACTTGATCCAGTGATCAAGTATTCTATAAGAATGCCTCCCGAACGACAAGGCACCCAAAAGCGCCGGCGCCTCCCCTTCAACCCCCCACGACCGCGAGACACCATCACCGCCGCGGGCCCCTCAGCCTCAGCATCAGCATCATCCACCAAAGCCAAACCTCCTTCCAAAGCCGCCAAGAACACAGCCAATGCAACAGCATCCTCGTCAAAGGGCACGCGCAAGCCCACCGGCGGCTCTACATCGGCCTCCTCTTCTCGCCAGAAAGCTTCCGGCCGACCTAGCGCCGCAGCTTCAGACTCAGGCTCCGAATCGCAGTCCGGATCTGAAGGCTCGGAATCTGGCAGTCAAGATCGCGAGAGATCACCTTCTGAAGAACCCGACTACATACTAGCGGAGATCACGAATAATGATGAGGCGGATGACGTGATGTCGAGCGAGCCTGCTATCCCGCCCAAATTGCTCACCAGGTTATTACACCATCATTTCAAGAGCGAGAAGACGAAAATTGCGAAGGATGCGAATGAAGTTGTGTCTAAGTATGTGGATGTCTTTGTGAGGGAGGCGTTGGCTAGAGCGGCGTATGAGAGGGCTGAGGGGTTGGCTGATCGTCCTGGGGGGATATCGATTGGAGATGGGTTTTTGGAGGTATGATACCTCTCTCAGTTGGAGCGAGACCGCGGAAAAAGCTATTGGATTGATTTACTGACATGTGGGTATAGGTCGAGGATCTCGAGAAGATGGCTCCGCAACTTGCGTTGGACTTTTAGATTCATTTTTATTGGTTGTTTGGCCTTGGATTGGAGTTCAGGAGTCTCATTTTAGTCCATGATTGTGATACCATGATAGCATGAAACATCTATGTCCGAGGAGTATGATATGCATTGATTAGACATGGCTTGAAGGACACAGGGTCTATTGGAGAGACGCTAATGACACAAAACGCTATGCAAAATCGTGAAATCTATTTAACGTTATATCATGACCACGACACTTGTCATGGCGGATGAAGGCCAATATATTTGTGCTGATTTGAAGCTTCCGGACCGAGCAAGCCATTGGGCTAACCACTGACCAGACGATCCGGTGTCGCTGTACCCGGGGTTGCAGCTTCAACTCGGTCATCTTTGGAGTCCGTCGTCGCTTTTGACTCTAATGAGCCGTCTTTCTGAGCCTTATCTTCTTCTGCAAGTTCCTTTTTCTTCGGTCTCAAAGCTCCATTCTCCATGGCTTCCTCCGGCAGAGGTCGAATGTGAGGTTGACAAACCCACCAGGGTCTGCCATATTCGGCGATTGTTGCCTTGGAGCCTTTCAATTCTGCATTTGGAGCCACTTCAAAACGCTCTGGATATTGTTCGTATTCGTCGAGACCTTCCTTGACTGCTTGTTCGACGAGGAACAGAGTGTGCTCGAAGGCTGCCATATCACCCGGTCTGGACCTTGCAAGCGCATCTCGAACATTCGTGTGCTTCGACACCATTGGACGCAGGATCTGGAAAAGATGCCCTTGCATCACTCCGAGACTAGGAGACTGCGGTCTCTTCGACTTGTCCCGTTTCTGCTTCTTTTTCGGAGGGCCATCCTCAGCCTCCGCCTCCTCTGATCCTGTATGTGACGCCTGCTCGGGCTCTTTGGGATCTGAAGGGAGGTAGAGAGGTTTCCGCTCAGGACCAGGGACTTCCAGCACATATTGATAGATGATGTCCAAGTATCGGCGGAAGATAGCGTCTATACGGTATCCGCCCTTTCCGTTTCTACCCCTCCAATACTGACGTTCTTCGCTACCAACGGGGGGAGGTTTGCTGAAGATGGCCGGATCGGACAGGTTGCCCTCCGCGCTCATCACACCGTCCGCGCCTGTTGCCTCAAGACAACGTTCCAGATCGTCATGGTTCAGATTGTTCCCATTTGCAAAGATGACCGTCTCTGGTGGTAAATTGTCGCGCAGATACCGAATGTAGCTCCAGTCTGCCAAACCTGTGTTGTGACCCTTTTGCTCCCTTGTGCGTCCGTGAAGTGTGATTATGCTAGCTCCAGCGGACAATATCATTTTCGCATACTCTAGTGTCTTCTCTTTCGACTCCTGTATGCGGAACTTGGCTGTAACGGGGATGGGAAGCTCCTTATGCAGTCGGTTGATCAATTTATAAATCAAGTCCCAGTCCTCTTGGAGGAACGCTCCATAATGGCCCTTCCGCGCGATGCCTTGGGGGCATCCAAGATTGAGATCGACAGCATCGCAGTAGGGTGCCACGTGTCGGGCAGCTTCTAGAAAATCCTCGGGATCATTGGCGCAAAACTGTACGAAAAGCGGCCTGTCAAACGCAGGGTTGCCGTCAAGGTAGAGAGAATTGTCATTCTTGTCGAGACCGGCTCGGGTAGGCTGGAAATGTTGCCAGCGAACATTAGGTTGCTCTCGAAACAAGCGCGCATGATACATGGGGGAGTAGGCGAGGATTGGCTTCGGGTCATCCGGTGGCATGAACGAACGAGTCAGCATGCGCCAGGCCTAGGAGATGATCATTAGTCCGGATGCGCTGATAGGAGAGGGATCGGCCATACAAATTCGGATCTGTCCACCATAGGTGCCACAATATACTTGGGACTTCCTATGCTCTCATAAAACTCTCTGCCGTATAGCTTCTTCCGGGGCTCCGCACTTGCGCTCTCAGGCGCTTTTTGCGGAGCAGGCTGCGTCTCTAACACTGCCATTTTTGCAAAAAATCGACGGGGGAGGCTAAAGGATAATGGCCCCAGCAGTGGGGTAAGAAAGCGCACAGTCCCTATAGTGGCTGATAGAGGAGAAACAGATATCTAGAAGAGCCTGACTTCGTTTGTGGCTTCCAGGCTAGTCTGATCAACATTGCCTTTTTTTTTTTTCTGAGCGGCGATTATCCGGAACGGAAAAACAACATAGCGAGTCTTATCTTATCACTGTGCATCGCCAGTGTCGCCATTTTGCCATGAGTAGAATCGAGAAGTTCGTAAACAACCGAGGTTATTATCTTTTTGTTGATTGCCTGAATTCTATGCTAAGGGTCCGTGGATTCGTTGAGAATGATGTCGTGACTAGAAATGATTTTCAAACCAGGCCGTTGTCTACAGTCTATACCAGCTTATATAATCCGAGCAGAAGCTTGGCGGTGTTTATTCTCCAAAACGGGCAATGAAAGAAAGCGACAGTCAATTGGAACACCTTCTGTATAATTTAAGAAGAGCGGTGTAGCTCATGTGCAGAGCATTATGAGTGACAGTTGTCTTATTTGCTACCGATAACTCGCTGCAGGTTTGACAAATTTACTGGCTGCGTGTTATACGCTTGAAGCGAACAAAAATGGACTCCGCAGGAGCTGCAGGTGAGTCCAATGTGCACATACCACATAATCCGACAGCTTCATGACCAGGGTGACAGGCTCATCGGCAGCTTCTCTTTCTGATGACGGAGCCTTTGTAGCCCAACTCAATGGCAAAGATCTCATCATTCACCTCAATCCTGTGTCTTTGGACTTTAAGGAGGTAGAAATCGTTAAGCTCAAAGAGACACCGACTAGGTTTCTGAGATTTTCGCGCCCAAAGCAACTCGCTCGGTCAGACACTATCGGCAGCCGAGAAGAGAGCGCAGGGCGACGTATCCTCTGTGCTAGCGATAGCCGCATTCTGGTCTGGAACCTTCATCCCCTGCAGCTGCACGCTGAGATTGAAAATATCGAATCCGGTGCTCTGAACATTGACTTTGGCGCCGATGAAAACGAGATTATCGTATTTCATGCGTGGAACACAAAGTTAACAATCCATTCGCTGGACAGTGGCCGAAGCCAGGTCATCAAATCTCCAAAGTTCTCTCATTATAATGGCTTCGGCTTTCGACCGCGAACGCGACAGTTTGCAATCCTACTGAAGCCGGAAACGTCCGACTTGTTGACCATCCATGAATATGGGTCTTACGAGCTTATCAATAGAGCAATCCTGCCGACGTCGGATGCTCAGGGGTTGAAATGGAGCCCCGATGGAAACTGGATCGCCGTCTGGGATGCGGCAAGTGCGGGCACCAAACTTTTAATATATACAGCAGATGGAAACCTTTTTAGAACCTACAACGGCTCGCCTGAATCAGAAAGCGTTTTTGACCTCGGAGTGAGAAGCATAGAATGGAGCCCAGCCATTAGCCAAGGCGATGCTTCGGACTTGTTAGCCGTTGGAAAAGTCGATGGAACGATAGACATCCTGAATACCAAAACGGTAAGTCCTTGTCCTCAAAGCTCTCCTGCTTGCTTGAAGTGCCCCATCGTGATTACGAGCAACCCTAATCGCTGATCTAGTTCTCTTGCTCTATGACGCTGTCACATGCATTCCTAATGGATCAGCCCTCGCTAAGCGCCTGGCACGAGAGATCTGTGACGGCGGATGGGAGTCTTGGATACACAGAGTTGCCAGCATCTTCTGCCTTTAGCATGATTTCAGAGTCGACTGGTGCCCCTCGGGGCGCATCAATCATGGCGTTCAGTGCCAACGGTGCTTTTCTCAGTACAGTCGATCAGACACGACCCAATGTTGTATGGATCTGGGATTTGAAAACAGCGCCGGGTCTCGTCTCCGTTCTCCTTCACGACCATCCGGTCCGACAAGTCGTATGGCACCCTTTGAGGACCGAGTTCCTTGTAACTACATCTAATAGTATTGTCCCCGCTGTCCGATATTGGTCGCTTGACAGTCACCCGTCAATTATCCCAATCCCGATTTCGAGAAGTGAAGCGGGAAAATACGACGTAAGATGGTTGCCTTTGAGTCAAGACGACGTGCCAGCTTTATGGTTCGGAACGCTCGAAGAATATGTGCTTGGCCATTTCGAATTGGAGGACGGCGCTCAGCAGTTCAAAGTAGCCTACAGAGTGCATAACAGGTCCTCAAACAATCATTGCTCGAACACGAGCAGATGATCATTCAGTTGGGTTATTGTGGATAATTATGACGACTAATGAATCCTTATGAACGAGTATCCATCCTTCTTCCAGGGCATCGCGCCGCTGTGTTCTAGAGACCGTAGATTAACATACGCAAAAAGGGACTCAAAGGAAGACGGATCAAGGTCGCCATCACCTGCTTAGATATTGAAGCCCTTGTTCGTCGGTATGATCCATATCATGCACCTGGATATACTTCCCGTTGGCCAATCATATCTCGGAGACGGGGCCATGCTAACCGAGCCATCATCAGCGAAGAGGGCTTAGGGTTGAGCAACACGTGATGCTGAGTCATTCCCCACTCAATTTCGCACTTGGGTATTCAAACTTCTAGCCGACGTTCTGTGCAGCTCTTCCGTCGAACATCCGCATCAGACAGTCAAAATGGTACGTTTTGGAGGCGCCTTGTTCCATTAAGATCATGAAGAATGTGAGGCGATACTAACATTATTTTCAAGGCCGCCGGCGCAGGAAAGCAAAAGAAGAAGTGGTCCAAGGGCAAGGGTACGCAATTCCGTCTTCCCATCATCATCATATCACCCAGCACCGTTGAAGCGAGCGATCATCTTTCCACTTGAAAATATACCACATCGGTTCCTTTTCGTCGGGGAGAAGAGCTTGTCACTTGTCGGATTCAACGAGACTCGGACTCGGAGACTGAACGAATATTGAATGCTGACTTACTGATTTCTTCGTACAGTCAAGGACAAGGCCCAGCACGCCGTCGTCCTTGAGAAGCAGACCGCCGAGAGACTCCAGAAGGATGTCCAGTCCTACCGTCTCATCACCGTCGCCACCCTTGTCGACCGTCTGAAGATCAACGGCAGCTTGGCCCGCAAGGCCCTCGCTGATCTTGAGGAGAAGGGACAGATCAAGAAGGTCGTTGGCCACTCCAAGATGACCATCTACAGTATGTCGCCCCAGACTGCAGACGCACCACAGAAGTGATCATTTTAGAAGGGTTGATATGCTAACTAATGCCTGCAGCCCGTGCCGTTACCGCTGAGTAAACGATTTCCTACGAACATTTCTCGCGGTCCTTTTTTTATGCTACGAATGATATCACTATAAAATTCGGAAAGTCTGGCTGGGCGAAGGATGTATTCTGGTGTGAAAGCACGCACTACTGCATATGTCAAGTGAAATTGACTGAATCGATCTCAAAAATCTGTTCCAACTTTTTGCTTTACCTATCCGTAGATATACTCTGATTGTAACCATTATAAACTCCCGAGCTTTGCGATAACATCAACCCACCACGTCCCTCTTCTTCGGCCGCTGCTGCTTCGCCACCTTACAAAGCTCCCTCTTCTCCTTGGGCAAATCCTCCAATCCCATCACCTTCCCCACCTCAAAGTACTTCTTGTGGTTACGGAAGAAATTCTCCCAGTGAGCCACCTGCTTCCGCACCTTGCCCAGCGCCACCCTCCTGTCCTGCTCCCGCCGGATCTTCCTCTCCCCGCTGCTCAGCTTCTTGTCTTCCTCCTCGTCCTCAAGGGGGATGAACATCTCCTCCACCCCCGTAAGATCATGCGTGAGGTCTTCCTGGAAGCAGCCCGTCACAAACGCACGGGTTGCATCCCGGCCGGCGAAGAAGTTGTAGCCGCCGCCGGGGCCGTAGACGAGCGGATTGGCGGAGACGTCGAAGATGGTGCCGTTGACGGCGACGTAGATGGGGAGGGAGGGGTCGGTGCCGTTGTAGAGGGCGAGTTGGTCCGGTGCTAGGTAGACGGGTCCTTTCTGGTGCGTTGTTAGTACCACCATCGTCGGAGTATGACAGCTGTGAAGCGGATGGGCTGGCTTACAATGTATTGGACTAATACTGGCCATCTTGTGAACCACGGCCTGTATCCCCAGAGAACCGACTCGCCAGTCATGTAGTAGGAGAGCCCGCAGGACGCTACGACCAGCGTGAGCAGCACGCGGATGATGTCGCCGACGCTGATCCCTCCGTCATGGCTGCTTCGTCGCGGCGATGCTGATTTCGTGGGCTTGTCGGATCTCGAGGAAGATTGCTGGGGAACTTGTCTTTGGCGAAGTTCGGACATGGTGTTGGTTGTGATGTTTAGACTATGCTGGATGGCATTTGGGATTGTTATGTGCTGTAGCTTGTATGTAAGTTCGGCCCAGAAGACCGAGGACAGATAGCTTGGACTTATTTCCGACTTCCCCGCCAGCTGAGTCTGGGCGATGTGTTGACAGCGGGAGAGCGCGATGTGCAACTGGTATGTAATTCGAATTGACCGAGGAGCCGTCGGCTCATCATTAAGCTCTATTACCTACGAAGCAGATTGCTGGCTGTTTCTATTATCGCTTCACCATATTGCGCCACTCAAGCTCTCATTTCATCGAGCAGGAACAGCACCTTACAAAAGTAGTATACCAATAGCAGGGAGAGTTATACGATCGTTGACGCATATTATCATTGAGATCTATAGCTCCTGCGAGAATATGCGTCTAGCCACTTGATAATGCTCATGAAATGTCTGAATATTTAGAAACTATAACGCAGCCCACAATTGATCTTCGTTACCACCGTTTATGACTAAATCTCAACGTTGGACGCCGTTGACAACTAGAAGCTAGAAAACTAATAATATCAATCAGCAAAAGCTCACACTCAATCTTGCAAGAGCAGAAGAAAAGTGGTCAAAAAAGTCAGACATCCAAGGAAGAAATTGCGCACAGAGCACGTCTAAGATGGGTTCTAGCGACGGCTAGCGTGGAAACTGCGAATGTGGAAAAGGTTTTCATCATTTAAGAGATGGGAGAAGAATTTCTGTTGCGAGCGAAAATCAAGCAGATGCACTTACCCATCATGGTGAGTTAAACAGTTCTTTGGGAACGTCTTGGAAGTTGTTGAACACGCTGGATCTGGGATGACAGTGGATCAAGCCAACATTATGCTTGATACTAGAGAGGTATCTCTCTCTCAAATGCAGTATTGAGTGGAAGAGAAGAAGATGAAGAAGATGAGAAATGGAACAATTTAAAGCTCAGAAAAGGGAAAATTTCGGTAAGTGGGTCTGTGGTAGTTGATGCCTTGGTGCCTGATGCGTATGGGGCTGCTCTGATAGACGCAGTTACAGTCTACTAGCTTCGCCAAATTGAAGTTTTGAATTCAGAAAATAGTATATGTACCAAGGTATCATGAGTAGCAATGGCCTCGACAGTGAAAGAACTACCATAGGACCACAGCCAAACACTTCTGCTTCGAAGACTTAGGCCAGAACAGAGTGTCTTGTCAAGGTTCTCAAAATAATCGCTAATTTCCGAGTGTTTTTCCATGTGCTCAGCTTCTTGATCCATGCTCGACCAGTTGAGGCTGCGTCTGCTCTTCGCCTGCCTGATCTGTATCCTGGTCTTGCTCCCAGCTCCTTGAGAACACGTCATTAAGCGCGTCTTGAAACGTACGGCAATTCATGTCGATAAGCCCCTTCTTCTCTTTCGCTTCAGGGTTACGAATCACGGACACAAGACATAGGTACCTTGAACAGTCAGTAAAGATTTCAACAATAGATGCGTCGGAGAAAGCTGACTTGTTCATTTCCATCAAATGTATCATGGTCTCATCATGCAAGACAACATGACTTTCTGCCTCTTGTATTTGATCTCCCTTGGGCTTGCGGTCTGGATGATCCCACGAATACAGCTCAGAGACGTCAACAATCACATCTATGTAATCCGAGCACATTTCATAACATGACATATCGACAGGACGAGTGTCAGAGGCAATGTAGATTTTGCTCAGGACGTCAAAGAGATATGTCTTCTCGAAACCACAATTATTCGCAAGTGTGTTGATCAGATTTTCCAAGGTGGAAAGATTTGGAATCAGCTTCTGGATCACCTTGCTGAAAGCCTCGAAGACCGAGTAGTCGTAGATTGATGTCAAATAGTAGTGTACCGGAGCATTTTCGTAACCGGCATCACTTAATTCATCCGAGATGCGCTGCACTATGTCTTGAAAGGTATCTGTGCGATATTCGTCTGAAAGCCCGTCAACCTTGTGGATGAAGACTTCGATATTGATGTTCGGGTAGTATTGCTGAACGGTCAGAATGGTCCGGTTCAACCGAGCAACGGAGTCTAGGTAATCGTCCTGGGCATCGATCACCCATACGAGCGCGCCTAGACTGCCGAAAATATCTTCCAGGTCAAATGACGGCTCGAGGTACTCTAGCTGACCAGGAAAATCCCAGACTTGGAAGTCCATGAACGAGCTAAAGATCATGTAAGAACAAGGTAGGGCGTTGTAGGGGCACACTTACTGAATCGAATCTTTCTGGATACGGGTCGTTGATTCCAGAAACAGTGTTTCATTTGGTGGCATCTTATGGAAAACAACACTGGCGATGGATGACTTGCCGCTCCTGAGTAAAGTCAGTAACATGTCTAAGCATCATTCAGACGCAGATAGCTCACCGGCGAAGCCCCATCAGAAGTAAGCGAGGTTTAGCATCTCGAGGCTTATTCGTGGCCAGATGGCCCGGTTTGCCTTGTACCGGTGGCGCCAACTGCTGGTTTGCAATCTGGGACAAGAGAAGTCAGCTCAGCATTAGACTCATTATTTGCGACGATTTGTCGGAGAGACAAGCTTCGGGCAAAACAATGGATCGTCAACGACGTGACATTTCCTGTAGTTCCCGGCATAGTTGCGACGAGGAAATTGACCAGGGAGCAGGTTTCCTTACATCCATGCCAAGTGAAGAGGCTTCAAAAAGGCGACGGCAGTGAAGAAGACAAGTCAGTGATCCAATGTGCGACTCGAGGGTGAAGGTGCGACACTGGTAATACAAAACCAATGAGTGAATGTCGAAAGAAAGTCAGATCTTCAGCCTCATGGCGAGGCGCGCTGCAACGTTGACCAGGAAATAGGTATTGTATTTTTGAATATCCAATATCCCCGAACACTGCATGCACGTGAGGGTATATACTATCCCAGTGAGCGCAGAATTGGAGAGAACCAGAACCAATAGGGAAGTTCCTGCGTAGGACGGACACCGTCTAGCTCAATATGATATTACAGAAGGTGTAATGACACGGTCCAGAAAACCGTGCTGTCAATACCTTGGATGTCAATGGCAGCAAGAAGGTTGAGCGTTGATAAAGGTGAAGATGCAGTGTGGTCTGGAGATAAGCTGGGGTAGGCTGGCTTGGCGTTGAGCGTTCGCTGTCAATGAGTGTCAAACTGCCTCGCCCTGGATCTTCTTAAGAGCTATCCAGACGAATAGTGTAATTGCTATTCCCCAACTTCCACATCCACCATGCTTGGTGTATCATGAGAAGATGCTCTCTCGAACATGCTCGGTCCCTGACCAAATGAGAGTGGTTGCGCATCACGATGGTTGACAAGGCCACAATCCCGTGATGGATGATCTCATCGCACGATTGCGCCGTCAGAAGACCGACCGATTATTTCTCTCCAAGGCGAAGTAGGACAGATACAGTTCAATGACTACGACTTCTTTCGCACAGCTCTGACCGCAATGACTAAAATCTTATTGACCAGCGCTAACTAACAGGAGTGGAGGCCGTCAGTGGTATATATATAACTCTCATGCCCACTTTGAGCTGAAACTGACTCCCTTTGCGCCTACACCCGTCATTCCCATCCAGGAGCTATCTATCGCCAACGACACTCTATACAATGCTGCAAATACCAGAGGAATTGAAAACCGCGTTCGGCTATATTGGCGCTGCATCCACTTGTTATCTTGCCGTACAAGTCGCTCGCCATTTTTACTGCTACCTCCGACCCTCCAGTCTTTCGCGCTACAATCCCCCCGGGAAAGATGCTTGGGCTCTGGTGACCGGCGCCAGCGATGGAATAGGTTTTGGATTTGCCCAGGAACTCTGCAAACGTGGATTCAATGTCTTTCTACACGGTCGGAACCACGACAAGTTACTACGAAAACGGGACGAGCTGCTGGCCGAGTTCCCCAACGCAAAGATTCGGATCGTCGTCTTCGACGCGTTCAAAAGCTCTGAAGATCTCAGTTGGATTGCACAAGAGATTGGCGACGCCCGTCTCACTGTTCTGGTCAACAATGCTGGAGGAGGGGTGAAGCCGTTCGAGCGGCTGGCCGAGCTCACACATGAAGACGTGCAGGCAACCATCAGCCTTAATTCTACTTTTACGGCGCAAATCACGCGCGTCCTGATGCCAATTCTGGAAAAGAATAGCCCGAGTCTCATTCTCACCGTCTCTTCGGCAGCAGCCTATGTGATGCCGACCCTCACAGTATACAGTGCCTCCAAAGGATTTGTGGAATCCTTCACCCGGTCGCTGCAAGCCGAAGTGACGCTCGACGGAAAGGATGTGGAAGTTCTCGCGCTACGGGTGGGAAATACCAATAGTCAAGGGAATGATGTGGCCGTGGGCCTATTTACCCCAACCTCTCGTACTCTGGCTTCGGCGGGCTTGAATCGCGTCGGATGCGATGGTCCGGTTGTCTGGGCGTATTGGCCGCACTCTCTCCAGGGTCTAAGCTTTCATCTAATTCCAAGCAATGTGCTGATTCGAATATTGGGAACCCGTCTCAGAGCAATGAAGCGGGAGGCTAAAGCGAAACAGGCGAAGAAGAGGTAGTATTATTTGATGAAGCGAACACGCTGGAGCTATTGACATTATTGAATAGCAAGCATCATCGCTGATGCTGCTTAGTGCTATCTGTACTTTTGGCTGCGACATGCCTCACGACTGTATATTATTGCACATAGTCACCCTATTTTCAGCTCAAGAAGATTTAAATCTGATTCACTTGACCCCGTCCGTAGTGAAAGGATATCTCGAGGTCAGTGTCTGGAGGAACTGTAGAGAGGGAATAGGAACTAAAAGAGAGCCGATCTCAAATGAGAGCAACAGGTGACCCTCGGCACTGCACTGATTGGCCCCTTTCATGCGCACCACCCGTTGGCGTCATCAAGCGCCCAAACCGAGTCACCGTAAGATACTTTGTTTCAGTACGTGGTGCTGCATCGATATTGCACCCAATTGCTATTCTTCTGGGCTCATTCTGTGCAAGGCCGTTTTTTATTGTCACAAGAACCATTTCACTTCTTCAGTTCCACGTGAGGGGTTACCAATGACGACTCTTGTGCCCCGTGAGCCTTACTCGAAGGAGGAGCTCGAGAAGCTCTATCCAAAGGAGCTTCAGCTTCAATTGGTACAGGTGGTAGGTGATGAGACAAAACATTTTTTCCCGGGCTGAGTCAATCAAGCATACTGAGTGAGAATGTAGTTCCTTCGTCACGGTACGATATTTCCTGCTGTCGAACTATCTCCGAGCAATTGGATCTAAGAACGGTTATTCAAGGTGAACGGACACCGGTCTCCTCTAGATTTCAGAATGTGTGTAACCTGTCCATTTCTGATCTTATTGATGCATGAGTCTCTTGAGCTGACATCTCCAAGGCAGGCCTCGCGCCATGTAAGGAAACCCCCACCGAATTCACGATCGCCCTCAGCCTTACTGCTCGTTCCTAACTCGATGACCACTCAAAGATTGGCCGTATTGCAATGTCGCGCGTCGGATGATCCAAATGGCAGCCAGTGAGAAAGACCTCTCATCGTGGAATGGCTTCCAATGGCGAAGAAAAATGGAAGCGTTTGGTGACAGAGACGAGTCGGTTGTTGCCGTGGGTGCGACGGGTGACATAGAGGGTATCTGGCAGGTTCCCTGACTTCCGAGGACGAAACTGGCAGTAGAGAGGACTCGGTAGCTGACTGGATATACGCTTCGCGACTTTCACAGCCAACATGGCGAATTGACAGATAGAGGGCGGGAGACCACATTTGAGCTGGGTCAGCGTCTGAGACATCTATATGTCGACCAGCTCGGTTTCATGCCAAAGATTAAATCGGATACGGAAGATATGTATCTTCGCGCCACGCCTATCCCTCGAGCTCTCGAGTCTCTCCACCAAGCCTTCTGGGGTATGTATCCAGCCAGTGCGCGTACGCAAGACTTCCCTCCGCCGGTGATTGTTGCTCGCTCTTTCTCGGATGAGACGCTCTTTCCCAATGAGGGCAACTGCCGGCGATTCAGGCAATTGGCCCGGCTATTCGCTGATCGCGCCGCGAAAAGATGTACGCTTCTATTTCAAAATCAAAGATGTGAAAATTGAGCCTAATGATGACGCTACAGGGAACGAGTCCGAACAAATGAGCTACCTCAACAGCCTCTGGTCTAAATGGATGCCTGACGCCTCCCCCCAAATCGCCGTTGACTCCCATCCCCGCCTCTCCGGTATCCAAGACACGATCAACGCGACCGACGCCCACGGTCCCGCCACAAGACTACCCGCGGAGTTCTACGACAAGAAAGCCCGCGAGTACACCAACACCATCGCTGTCGACGAGTGGTTCGCCGGATACGCGGAGAGCAGGGAATACCGGAAACTCGGGATCGGCGCCCTGATGGGCGACGTGGTCGACCGCATGGTCAACGCCGCTGCCAACGGCGGCTGGCGCAGCGAGCGCTCCGCTTCCGGCTCGTCCGCGGAGAACGGCAAGGCGATCAAATTCGCCATGAGCGGGTGCCACGATACCACCCTCGCCGCTATCCTGGGCAGTGTCGGCGCCTTCGACGCCAAATGGCCGCCTTTCACCTCTTCCATCGCTATTGAACTCTTCTCCCGAGCGGAGAACGCCCCCGCGTCGTCACCTTCTCCGTCCGCCAAGCAACGAGGCCTCCTCTCGTACCTCACCGGTCATGATGTCTCGCCCTCGTCCGACACTGACCGCGCCCCGCTTTCATCTCTCCCGAACTCAACACGGCAGGCGCTAAGGAACCACTACGTGCGTATTCGATACAATGACCACCCCGTCCGGATTCCCGGCTGCGCGGCGAAAGCGGAGAACCATCTCCCCGGCGACGAGACGTTCTGCACGCTCGATGCATTCAAGGAGGTTGTGGATAAGTTCACGCCCAAGGACTGGAGGGAGGAGTGTGTACAGAACCTGGGGGAGGGGCTGTACGGCAAGGACGATGCGGAGAAGGCTGTTGCTGGGTTCTAGTAATATCTTCGGGCTAGTTTACAGAGAGTAATAACTTCTTGTAATCCAGTAGAACTGAGATACTTGATGTACTTGAATAGCGAGATTTGTAATATTGTCGCCTGGCTGGGTAAGTCATATCACCAATAAAAGTCTTATGTATATGCAAGCAAACATGGCACGAAACGCAACCACGGATCCAAGTCTGTCTACATATATCCGCTCGCAACTTTCCATCCCTCTTGGAATACTCTAGGCAGCATCGCTGCTCTTCGTCCGAATACTCGGGCTCGAGCGCCGTCCGCCCCGACCCTTACTCCAACTCTGACTACGACTCCGACTGTGCTTCCCACGCCAAAACCGATCCATCCACTCGTCATCGCTCGAGCCCCATCCGCTCTCGCTTTCGCTGGCGCTCCACACGGACCGACCCTGGTCCATATCTATGACCTCGCCGGCAGCAAAAGCAGACGCAGACGCAGGCTCAGGCTCAGAAGCTCCCTTCCTCTTCATTTGCTTCTTCTCTTTCGCCAGGGCGTCGGCCGCTTCGCGGATTTTCTTCTGCTTGTTTGCTTCGACTGCTGAGGCACGCTCGAGGATATCGAACAGCTTCTCGACAGCGGGGGCGAAGGCCTGCGCGATGGGGATGTCGCCAACGCGGATGCGCATGTAGTCAAAGGCGGCGGTGACGGGGGCTTTGAGGGGGGGTTTGTTTTCAGTGACGGTTAGAGTGGAGGGTTCGTGTGCGGGTTCGGGCTCGTGGTCTGGGACGTCGAGGTCCTCGCGGGCCATGGGGGCGGGCTTGGGCTGGGGGTCTGGTTCTGTCGGGCTGGCGCCGGGATCGACGTGTGCAACTTTTTGGTACCGCTGGCTGAAGTGGGTGAGGACGACGGTGCGGGCTTGCATCATGCGGCCGACTTCCAGGGCTTCGGAGGTGGTAGAGTGTTTCTTTGCGACGGCGGAGACGGCCATGTCGTCTTGGAAGGTGGCTTCGTGGATGAGCACGGTTGAGTCGCGGCCGATGGTGGCGAAGTTGGCGGAGGGGCGGCAGTCGCCAGAGAAGGAGAGCTTGAAGCCGTCCGGGAAGACGAGGGAGACGGCCATGGCACCACGACAGTGCGAAACCTTCGTTGTGAGGATATCGGCGAGCCCCGTGGCCTGACGCAGGAGCGGGGTCACAGGGGAGGAATCGTCGTTGAAGTCGAGGGTGGACGTCTGAGGCCGGCTCCCATCGGCCTCATACCCGGGGTAGGAGCCGTCGTCACGGCAGTGACGGTAGGTGAATTTTGTCTTGATCTGGAAGTCTCCGTTGACGTAGCTGGGATGGGCGGCCAGAGGCACTAGCTTTCCAAAACCGTAGTCCTCGACGCCGGCATACTCCTCGAGCCAGCCAATCATCATCTCCTCGGACACGACAAACAGGCGTTTGTCTTGGAGGATCTTGCGTATGTCGGTCTCGACGCTGCCTGCTCGAGGTACGCCGTTCGGGTAGTTCGCACGGAACCATTCCCTGATGACGGAAGCGGTGCCAAGATGATGATCAGCGTGCAGATGGCTGATCCAGATCAGCCGAAGGTTCTGCAGCACCTCTTGCAACTTCTTCGGTTCGTACATCCGCTTGAGCTGACCGATGGTGTTCTCGCCGCAATCAAGCAGATAGGATCCAACCCCGGGCACATTAACGAGAGTGCTGGAGACGTTGCGGTACTTGGACGGCGAGGACGAGCCAGTTCCCAGAGTGACAATCTCCACGTTGGCTCCAGGAAGGTCTTTACGAAACTCGGCCAGCTTCTCTTGAAATTGGGGTTTCATGACCCGCCTACGAATGGCAGTCACCCGCTGCTCAATGGAGCGAGGAATCGTCTGTACGGTCTCGGCAGGGTTGAACAATGGCACGACCTCTGAGCGGTTAAGCTCGAACTTGGGTTCCATGTTGATGACCAGGCCGGGGTTGATCGGTTCGAACGGCGAGTTGCGGATCATTTCCTTGGTCGTCTCTGATTCGCAGGTAGGAGTACCTGGCTGTGGCAGGGTCTTGTTATCATGAACCGGGACGGGATAATTCTCGCCGCGCAACCTAGCCAGCCTGATGGAGGACCCTGCCACGCTACTCAGTGCCAAGTAGTTGGGACAGTAATCCGTGCTGGAGACGGTGTGTTTGCAGTGCGACATGCGAGCGACAAACTCGCGGAGGCGAGGATGGTCGCCCACACCCGGCCCTAGAATCCACAGGAAGGCCTCTAGTCCCGTGGTGACGGCGGCCGAGTTCCATTCCGGCCGATCAACCAGATCATCCACGTAGTCAGAAGTAGGCAGATCGATGATTGCCAACCCCTTCCCGAGCCGTGGTGGACCCAAGACCATATCCGGGGTGACGGTCTTTCCGTCCTCAGACAGCACATTCTCGCCCTTCGTCAGGCGCGCAAAGTTGGGGCCGGCGCGAACGTTCAGCTCTTTCGCCTTTTGTGGATCGAATTTGCCTCTGAGATCGTGGTTGCGCACGATGTAAGAAACCGCCTCATCGCACCGTGTCGTGGGTGGGAGTTTCTCCACACTGGCTCCAGGCCAGGGTTGACGCACGAGCACCTTGATGTCAGTAAGTGGCTTGTCACTTCCAGGAGCGGGGCCATTGTACGGCTTGAGGTCCTTGGTTTCGGGGTCCCGGATGAACATGATCGCAGGCATTTTGACTTCTGCCAAAGGAGTCTCAACGAGAGCATCCATTCTCCACGACGAATTAAACATGTCGGAGATGACCGATTGCCTCATGATGTGGTCCTGGGCGCGCTTGTCCAGAGCAGGCTTGTCAGCGTCGCGCTCCTGAAACTCGTCCAAGCTCCTCTTTCTCGGGCTCTGAGGCCTGGCTTGAGGCGATGTCCTTCTCGATCGCTGCGACGGCGAGGGTCGAATGGGCATGGCCCACACTTTGATGTTCCTGTCCGACCAGGTCGGCTGCTCAAAGGGATCAGCGGCGCGTGCCGGAGAACCAGACTTGGACAGACTCTCTGAGTCGTACTCCTTCGTGAAAACCGGCATCCCCTTGCGAAAAACAAATCTCCGTGCAGTGGCCAGGGTGTGCGTCAGATTCCGACCACCATGGATCGTCAAGGTGCCTCTGTCAGCCTGCCCGTCCTGCTGCTGCTGGAACTGTTGTTTAACATTCTGGCCGCCACGGCCCTTGGCCTCTTTTTCACGCGCAGTAAGCTCCAGCGCACTCGCGGCGCTCGCCAGCCCATCTGCCAACGTGAGAATCACACCAATCAACCCGCCATTAGTCGCCCACTCCGTCCGGCCTGTGAGAAAAATATCCGTAAGATAGGATAGCTTGACACCACGCTCTGTGCACGCCCGCTGGGTCCCCTCCGAGATCTGCCCAAAGAAATACCGCTTATCCGGGAAATGTAGGACGAGGGTCGTGCCCGGCGTATCGGCCGTCGGCGTCGTCAGCACTTGATAGTAGAACTTCATTGGTTTGTTTCCCACAGGAGAAGTAGGTATAGAGTCGAAGTCGGAGCCTTGGCGCAAAGCAGGGTTGTATAAAATGTAGGTTTTTCCTCGTCTGAATTCGAGTTTGGGGGCTCTGAGAAGATAGGCGTCCGGATTGATCTCGCGGCGAAGGTCGCGTGTTCGACGAGCCTTGAGCGGACGATCGAAGTACTGGTGTGAGAGTGACGATTTGGGAGGCCCAGATATACCTTCGTAGACCCGACGACGCGACTTGAGGTACGACGCAGCTCTGGAGAAGCAAGAAGAGCCTGCTAGCGACGGAGCCAGGCGAAAGGCTTTGGTGAACAGCCTCCCGGAAAAAAGAAGGGAAGCCAATGTGGCTGCTGAAAAGCTTTCACCGAAGGAACGAATGGCACCGCGCAATCATTGCAGTATTTAAGAATGAGTCACTAGAGAGCTAGCGGGGTCCGGATGCGAAATTGAGTGACTTCTTCCTGGATGAGTGACTTTGTTTGTGAGTCAGGGTATCGGAGCTGCTGAAGTCATCCAGAATATTGGGGTTTCAGTTTTGCCTCCGCCCGAAGAATCTTGGCGTGGTTTGATGGTGGAGGTATAGACTACATCCACAGATTGAAACGCTACGAATACTCAGTTCTTAGATTGGATAAATTTTTTTTTTAATAGCTGCAGCTTATTCAGACTTTTGATCTTATTCGACTAAAGCTAATGTCGGTTCCTAATGGCTAACGGACCAGGCGTCCAATTCCTATTTCCTACCCAAATAGAAGCGAGACCTGTCCTGTCCTTCAATACACCAAGACTCCAGTAACCCAGAATTGACAATAGAACGAGTGGTAAAGAGAGAGAAGACGCGCGAGTCGCAGGACGCAGATATACAGTCAAATGCCATGAACAAAGGAAAGAGGGGGAGTATGTATCCTCACAGGAGCTTGATGCTCACAAGCCCAAATCAGTACAAATCAAAAATGAAATTTACAATCCTATACGTATCACAAATGCTCGGCCGCGCGGCGTGGGGGAATCATGAAAGATGGGAAGTCATCATAGAGACGCGTTGGAAGGCTGCCTCCATACTGTTGCAAAGGACCACAAAGCGGTCTGCGATGGCCATGGACTCATTCTCGACGACCAGCTCAAATGCAGGCGTCGACTTTTGAGATTGGATGGTGCAAGAAAAGTCCACAGGGGAGTTTGACGACGAGTCTGAGTCTCTGGCGGGGAAGTCGGCGAAGAGGGCGAAAGCAGGGTCAGACTCGTCAATCTGAATATCTGGGTTCTCGACACCAACAGGAGAATCACCCATCTGCTCTTCTGTGTTTGGCGGCCGCTCGATCCTGGGGAGTTCATCCTTTGCAGACGATACTTCTGGCAAACATGCTCCGAACAAGGTCGAGCTCTTTCCGGAGAGAATCTCTGCGTCGAGGGTGGGACCCTCAGGAACCTCCAGGACAGCAAAGACAGGAGTGTTGCCATAGCTCATGTCAATTCCGGTGTTCCAAGCCCCATTGTTAAGACTTATCGCAGAAACATCCATCGTTTGACTAGGAACCATGACCATGCCAACCTGAGGGTTCTGAGGGATTGGGAGACCGTGATTAGGAGTGGCCTCTCTGGGCATGCTAGCTTGCATGGGCGGCTGCCCCATGTGCTGTGGTTGAGACTGAGGTTTCATCTGTTGCTGTTGCTGTTGCTGCTCAGGGACCTGACTTTGAGACTGAGGGAGATTGGGAGCGGGGACGCCATTGACGTTCATCTCGTCCAGAAACTGAGAGAAATGAGGGGAGGAGAGGAGCATGCGAGCAAGGTCAGTGAGACGAGCATTTTCCTCGTACAAAACACGATTCTGAAGACGTAGTTCGTGGGCTTCATTGGTTCGCGCAGCGACCTCTGACTCAAGTTGGCCGATATATTCTAGTTCATGTTAGTACTGCCGATATGGTCCCTGTTCGAGAGTTGAAAGCATACCCTTTCTGCGCGATCTGAAAGCGCGTGCCGAAACCTTGTTGCGCAGCTGCCGACGTTCCTTGCTACTGAGTTTCTTTCCTTCCTCACTGGCTAGTAACCTTTCATCTTCATCCATATCCTGCTCATCCTTCTTCATCTTTGCCATCTGAGGCAAGGACGAAGAGGGCGAAGGCGTGTCCTCGATAGCGCCCATAGCGTTCTGTCTCATCTGCTGCAAAAGGCGCGAAATCCGTTCCTCCACGGCAGGGTTCGTGGCGCGAGGGGGTGGGCTCTGCTGTTGCTGCTGTTGCTGTTGTTGTTGCTGTTGCTGCTGCTGCTGACGAAGCATCTCATGTTGTTTTTGTTGTTGTTGTAGCTGTTGTTGTTGTTGAGCCGCCTTTGCCATGGCTGCTTGTTGCTGGTGCATTCCCGGATACATGCGGCCGACCTGAGTGGAAGGCCCGGCAGGAACGACCTCGTGACCTCCAAGGGCATTGGGATCGATGAATTGATTCTTGTTGACATTCGGCGAAAGATAGTAAGGAACCGCACCCATGCTGTCAGACTCCAGGTCCATTTCAGACGGGTTACGAGATGACATGTTGTTGAAATCGAATGAAGTGTCTTCCCGCTTCATGTGGCTGCTAGCGAACATGTCGCCATTCATCTGGTAAGCAGGGCTCGCGTTACCGAAAGTCACGCCGGCCATCTGATTGAAGTTCATTGCCTGAGCTAGAGCTCCTGGTGGCAGACCAGTCTGCTGCTTGTGTTCGTCGTATTGGTGGCTAGGCCCTTGGAAAGCCATAGGTGAGTGAACATTGGCAGCGAATGTCGCACTGCGAACATCGCCGGCGGTGAAATCTGAGCTGGGGAGAGAAGGCTGGCTTGCTAGGATGGCTTTTGGTCGGGCGGGTTCGGCGGATGTGTAGGTGAGTTGATCGAGGTTGATGAAGCTGTCAATGTCCTGTTCGTACACGGTCGGCATGGGCGAGGTTGATGATGACATGACCGTAGGGGGTTCCGCCAGAGTCGCCATTTTATTGATGGACTGCGAGTACCTCCAATATCGAACGAATGAAGCGTCCGGTCGATCAACGATGGGCAATTGATGGAGTGATCGGGCCACTGATTATATGTATGTAGCGAATGACGGTAGAAGGGCGCGATAGAGTTTTCAAAGATGTACGTATACGCGAGGTTCTAGAAGAATATCGTTCGAGGAAAGAATGGATAGGGAAATGAAGTCGAGAAGATGAACCAAAGAGTCGAGATCAATGGAAACGGTGAGAAAGGCGATAGGATAAGGCAGTCGAGATTGCAGTAACGGTAGGATGGGTCAAGCAGATTGCTGTAGATCGACCGGTGGTAAGGTTAATAGAGAGCAGATAGATAGATAGGTTATGAGGGATCAAAGACTGTGAAGCAGATCAACAGGAGTCGGGGGGGGAACCATAGATGGTCGCGGTAGAACTAGGACTCTGGAGGAGACACTACACTCTAGGAGGCCTGCGAAGTGGGCACTTTGTCCTCTCCAGGAATAGAAATCAGGTTAGGTAGAGCGGCTTGCGCGTCCCCCCGCTGACTCAGCTTTGAGAAGCGGAGTCCTTTGTATGCTGTGGCTGCTGATTGGTTTGAGATCTAGGGCTAACAATGCTGCACCCTAAGGAGGTGACCCACCCCCCTTCGCAGTTCCGTATTGTTACTGTCTTGGATATGGCAAGTCTTTGGACAATCAGGAGATCTTTGATCAAGATCTGGCAGTTTGTTTACTTTCTAGTCGATCACCGGAGATCCTGTCAACAAGACATATGCAACCAGTTGACTGCCTGCATATCATGTTGAACTTGTGTTATCTTTCATCATCAGGTACGAATACGACATCTATTTCCCATAGAATACTAGGCACGGTATTATTCGGAACCCCTGACATGTGCCCCAAATAAAATCATCCATGATGGATGGTCCTGGTTTGGTGTTTTGTCTTTTGGCGCTTTGCCGTTTCAAGTCTGTTTGTCCGACGAAACTGCGCTCCTCATCCCTTTTCCATGGCACTACGAATTAAATTGATTGGTTGCCCTTTCCGGGATATGCTCCATTCAAACCCTAGGTCCATCTTTGGGGGCGTGAAATGACGTTGGTGGCTATGAATTGGCCAATGATACATGAGTTTTGCTTTTAATTTGATGAGACCTTTTTCCCTGGAATTAAATGGATAAATGCCAGATGTTCACATATTTGAGTCTGTTATGTTGCTGAGACATGAAACTCGACATTGAACCATCTATGCTTCATCCAAGAATTTTGGACATATTTACGTATCCCTGGGACAGAAATCATTACATTCCAGTGGTTAGCACGAAACGAACAGACAATGGGACAAGAGGTAGAGCTTCGTATGCGACCAACTGACGAAAAGGACAGTGCAGATGGACGAGTTTTGCTAAGTTCAATTTTCAATAATAATGGTCATCTTTTTACATCTAAACAATGACTAGACTGAATAGCTCGTGGAGATCACTGCTCTGCCTTCCTATGGATATCAGCGTTGTTCTAGAAGGCTTCAAGACCACTTTGGCTGATTCTCGGCTTCCACAATCCCCAGGTCTCCCATTTTCTGGTTAATTGTGGATCATTGTGAAATATGAGGCAAAGCTTGGCACGGCTAGAGAGGTTGAAGAATTCTCTAATTTGTCTTGCAATCTGTTATCTCCATATCAAGATAGTTTACGTACTTCCTCTCCGTTGTTACTACAGTACGAAGTAGTTGAGCGACTAGCCGCACCGCCACTCCTGCAAGCCATCGAACCACTATTGCTTGATTAGCTTTAGCAACTAATTGAGGCCAAATGGAGAATCGTCGGCAGTGGAACTCGACTACAAGCCTCTGCCAAAAGTTCAAAGCGGCAAATGTGTTTTCCGACCAAGTGCTCAAACTGACGCTGAATCTGTCTATTTGTTTCTACCAGGGATGGCTCGCCCGCTAGTTCAGCTGTGATGGAGAGGAACCGACATCGACTGCGACAACTGTGAAAAGCAATCGGGCCAGATTGCCGAATCCGGTATCGGCGTTAAAGAGTTCTCGTTCGGCTGAGAAGCAGACGCCACAGCCAGGCTACAGTATATCTTCAAAGGCGATTGGCTTTGTTCTGTCTGTCCGAGGCGCAGCACGATCACATTGCCATCTGGACGAGCCCGAAGTAGATACTGCCCAACGTGTGCGTCTAGCCTAATGTCTGCTGATCCGCAGGTTATGCAGAAGTCCGAGCTCATCTTCCTGCTGCGGAGTGAGCAGGGCTCGGCAAGAATCCGCTCTCCTTACCATGGACCAGCGAACGACATACCTATCTGGGTAAATAGTTATGAAACTCGTACGGAGTTTGGGAGAGGATATCTATCGGAATTGATCAAGTCCGTCCACTCAGGTGCGGTGTTGCCTCGTCCAGTCTAGGCCTTGACTCTATATCGTTTCAGCTGGGCGTCTAGACGTGAAGAACGTGGATTATGGATCGTGGAAAATGCCTTGCAAGGCAGCTTTCTCTTTGTGCCCCTGTTTCAACATCTAATCTACAGTTATCTGTGGTTTGATCGAGAACGATCCACTAGTCTGATCTGCTACTGACCATACTTCTGCGGGTTGCACTACGAAGCCTCTCCAACCACGATTCCATGCCTCGGTTTGATGCCAAGTTGTACACGTCTACAGGGGTTCCAGAATGACCGGTCCCTGTAGGAAATGGGTGATGACTGGGGGAAGCTCTACAAGTCGGCTACTGGTGCATTCATTCTCCGTGCAATCATTGTGTGCGCGAGGTTGGTCATCTCAGTACTCCCGCGCCCAACTGCACAGTGAGTATCTCTCAGTCACAAGGGTGTTGACTGTTGACCATCTGGGTAGTGGGCTGACTCCATCCATTCCGAAGGCACCAAAAGTAGCGACACTGATGACTACTTGATGTCAAGCTGACAGACCATACTGACAGAAACAGGAATCTCGATATTCAATTCATTCTCATCCCCAAAACCCATTCAAGCATACATATTTTCAGATACAAATAAACTTTTTTCATCATGTTACACTACCGCAGCTTACTCGAGTTAAACTTCGTCAAAACATAAAAGCATCACTACTCCTGAGGATGAGAGAGCTGGTCACCGGTCAAATGGTACGATCCAGGTGGCTTAGGATTCGTCTCCGAGGCACTAAACTCGCCAGGCTGATTGCCCCATTGGACATCGTTACTGGAGGTCTGGTCGCCGACCGCAACGAATCAATAATCAGGAACTTGCTACAATTGGGTTTAAGGGAACTGGATGCGCACCTGTTTAGTGGATTCCGAGGACTGGAAGCTACTCTCCTGGCTCTTCTGGTTTGTTTGTTGCTGGAACCTGGGGTTTTGTTGTTGCGACTGGACGGGGTTTTGTTGCGACTGGAGCCCGGGCTCTGTCTGCGACTGAGACTGGAACTCGGGTTCGTCGCCCATCCCACCGGCCCCTGGCTGGTCTTGGGATGGGTTGGCGCCGCTTCTGAGGTTGTAGTTGGAACTCATTATGATGATGTTGGAGATTTGAAATTCAAGTTGACTGCTGATTGCTTTTCGAAATGGTTGGTTTGGAACTCATGGCCCTTATATGCTACAGGTTCAGAAATGTGGTTGAGGGTGAGGTCATGATTGCGTTCACGACACTGGTCAGATGATGGTTTTCATACTGCTGTATGCTGATTGCTCCCTCTTGTCATGGTGGCTTGAGTGATGATATCTCTAATTCATCATATACCAGAGAAATGGTTGTGGTGAGTATCGATGTGGATGGTTGTCGCCGATGATGAGGCACTAAAAGCTTCAAGTGGCGAAAATCATGCTATGATAGCTATGCACACATCTTAACTTGCGTACATACTAGAAATGTTTTGATGATCATTCCAGGTATCTACCGTTTATCTTTTAAACCTCTAAATGCTATCTAATCTACAATATCGAACTACTCTGATATTTCACCTGAGGCTTCCCTATACTACCGAGTCATCTCTATACAAGACCCCGCAATATATTCTGATCATATCTCATACTACATAAAATTACCCACATTCATTCCTCCATCCATTGAGCAAATGACTCACATTGCTGATCTATTCCTACTTACATACATCAGCTTAATCCACAGGGGTCACCACCATCGTCAATGGGATCAAATTCCTCAGGCAGACCTGATCGCCACTATTCCCCTTTCGGACCCCGCTCTGCACTCAGTTCTCAATCGCATGCACAATCATCGTGACTCAGTGCAATTGAGGAATCATTATGTAAATATTTTCCGAGAAGTGATTGTCGAATGGGCTTGTGGCCGAGGTTGGGAAAATTGGGTGTGTAGTGGCTGTTCAATACTAATATCGTGCATTGGCGTTGGCGTTGACGACGAGAGAGCATGTTTAACAATATACAACCAAGGCATTGATCAACCGAAGATTCTTTCATTTACTGTATACTATAGAATAACTTCCATCGCGCACTTCATTAGTACCTACGCCATGACAATGACACCACATATCATAGCAACCTGCAAACAGACCCGATTCCATCTACTCCACGATCAGCCCGCGCAGGAGGTAACGCATACATACGCATACATACACCCATACATCGCCAGGACGCGCGCTAACCCAACACCAGATCGATGTAGAAGGTCTCACCATCGCAGTTACTTCATCACCGGCAGACACAGCCGACGATGGTGGTCCCTCAAACCCTAAAGCAAAAGGGAAATCCAAATCGAAATCCAAGGCCGAAGCGCGGGAGCTCATTGTCGACACTCATTTGCGGCTTAAGGCGGGGGTGCATTATGGCCTGATTGGACGAAATGGGACGGGGAAGTCGAGTATGTTGATTAAGAGTCAGCCTATTTGAGTACCTAGCATGCTAATGATGATGATGATGAAGCGCTGCTCCGCGCTATGGCCGACAAACTGGTCCCTGGGATTCCGCATCCGACGCGCATTGCGATTCTGCAGCAGACGGAGACGGAAGATGAAGTGCGGACGTTCGAGTGCGAGGGGCAGGACCGGGACAGGCGGGCTCTGCCCGTGTTGGAATATGTCATGAGCAGCGATCGGTTCCGGAATGAGGTTGTGCGGAAGATGAATGGTAAGGCTGTCTTCTATTTTGAAGGAAAAGGTCTAACGATTGTGAAGTTCTGTCGAAGAGCTTCGAGACGGATGATCCCGTAGCGCCTGTGCGGGCCATCCGGAGAGTCCGCCAGGATGATATCGAGAAACAGCTGTTCCTTGCGCAGAAGAATGCCAGCCTCAAGAGTGGTGCGAGGGGCTTACAAGCTCGGAAGGACTTGAAGGCGGCTGAGGCGAGATACCAGGCTTCGAAGGAGCTGTGAGTTGTCCTCTGGAGGCTTGGAAGTCCACTAATTTGGTGATAGGGTCGAGCAGCCTGATCAGCCTATTGATGCGGAGGCACTCAAGGCCGAGACACAGGCGGCGATGGATACTTTGCAGGAATTACAAGGCCAGTTTGAAGCCGTGAGTGCCCGAAACTAAGTTCAGATGATGACGAATACTAAGCATGACAGATGAAACTGGTTGATATTGAGAAGCAAGCTCGCCAGACCCTCATCGGACTGGGGTTTGACGAAGCCATGCTCAGCAAACCCTTCCTGGCTTTATCCGGGGGCTGGCGCATGCGTTGCCTGTTAGCCAGCGTCCTCATCCAGAACCCGGACATCATGATCCTAGATGAACCGACTAACTTTCTCGATCTGCTTGGAGTAGTCTGGCTGGAGAATTACCTACAGCAGTTACGGGACTCGTCCCAGACGACCATCGTGCTGGTATCTCACGACCGAGACTTTGTTAACGCTGTCTGCGAGGAGATCGTCATCCTCCGCGACCAGAAACTAACCTACTTCAGAGGCAACCTGTCCGCCTACGAGAAAGACTTTGAAGCGCAGAAACTCTACTGGGGCCGCATGAAGGAGGCACAAGAGCGCCAGATCGCGCACATGGAAGCGACGATCCGAGAGAACATCAAGCTGGGGAAGAAGACTAACGATGACAATAAGCTGCGCATGGCCAAATCCAGGCAGAAGAAAGTTGACGACCGCATGGGCATTCAGGTCAACGCCAACGGCGGACGCTTCAAACTGAACAGGGATCTGGCGGGCTACCATCTCACCGCGCGAGCTGAGATTGAAGTACCTACGGACGAAAGAGGTGCCTCCATTTTCCTGCCCGATGCCAGTGAACTGCGCTTCCCGGGTCCGTTGCTCTCGGCGGAAGGGGTGGGTTTCCGGTACACACGGAATGCACCGCCTATACTGAACGGGATCGAGCTGGTGATGCATATGGGCGATCGAGTCGGCATCATGGGGCTTAATGGTTCTGGAAAATCTACGCTCATCCGCCTGCTGACGGGCAATCTGCAGCCGACGCAGGGCAAGATATCCACCCATTCCCGGCTGAAGCTGGGATACTACGCGCAACATTCGATCGAGGAGCTCCATGAGCAAGGCCGAGCCGATCCTGCGCTGACAGCATTAGGTTTCATGACCAAAGAGATCAATAGTGCACTCAGCGAGGGCGAGATCCGAGGATTGCTGTCGTCTCTGGGTCTTCAGGGCAAAATAGTTTCAGACGTGCCCATTGCACGGTTATCGGGAGGCCAACTGGTAAGCTTCCATGTCTTAATAGCGATCTGCAGCTGTTGACATACTTTCAGGTCCGTCTGGCAATTGCCAAGGTAATTTGGAACTCTCCTCATTTGCTGGTTCTCGATGAAATCACAACGCATCTGGACTTCCATACCGTCACGGCTCTTGCAACCGCACTGTCTTCGTTCAACGGTGCAATCCTCCTAGTATCTCACGATCGTTTCTTGGTCCGGTCCGTCATTGAGGGGAAACGAGACGGCGAGCATAATCTGGATGAAGAATTTGAAGGGGTAGACCAAGAAGTCGAGGAGCAGAGTCGAAGAAGGTCTGTCTATGTGATGAAGGGCGGCAAGCTCATTGAGCAGCTCAACGGGGTGGAGCAGTTTGAACAGAGTCTGGTGAAGAGGGTCAAGAAGATGCTCTCACAATAGACTATTCTTAGAACGGTCGACAGTAGTATATCTATCAAGACAGAAACGTGGGGATGCCTGAGGCCAAATATGATCTGCAGCCAAGGAGATTTAACGGAAATTGACGGCAAATAATACCCCAGAATGCGATATCATGACCTGGCTTTGAATCCTTGTATTGCCGTTTCCCTGATTCCCCGCCACGGCGACCGTACAAGAGTTAAGATTAAGCATGCCATGGCCCGTGGCTGGATGGCTTCAAATCTTATTGTACTAGAGCCACCTCCTCTGACGGCATAGCTCGTTTCCTCCTGCCATATTCGGCCTCCTTGACGATCTTCTTGGAATTAAACGTGGAAAAAATGTACTTTTCTCCAGAGTAGAAATGACGTGACGAAAATGATATAACGAGCCCGTTTCCTGGTGCTGGTGCACGACGCGTACTCCCGATCCTCCATCAGTGATCTCGCCATAATGAGGCGATCATTATCCACAGGTCTTTCTGCCCTCCAGGCGCTGAGCGTCTTGGCCGGTCCTCTGAGTGAGAGGACTTCAGATGTAAGTACGATGCATAGCTGCTCACCCTACCCCTGCTGACGACTGAAGACACCCAAATCATGCAATGAACCGCCCGCCACACTTGCACTGAGCAGCGGTCCATATAACAATTACTTTTATTCCGACTGCAATGTTGCCGCTCAAGTGGTTGTCACTAGTCCACTACCTGACAGCAATCTGAGCTTGATCGGACCTCGGCTGATTGTAGCCTGGCCGGCGGGCAACAGCGGCATCTGCACATACTTTGCTCCTGAGAATGGAGTCAACGGCACCCTTGGTATTTCGGTCGTCAACTCTACCGTGGGAAGCCCACTGTTCCTCAATTACACGGCTAAAGAGCCAAACCCCGGGGTCGGGGTGCAAGGCACTCTCCGCTTCAACTCGTCGGCGGTCTTGACCGTCCCCATTCTGGGCAGTATTCGCACGATCCGGGATTTCGTGGAAGGGCCAAGTCTCCTGCAGCCTAAGATCCAGGATACCATCCAGTTTACCAGCTTTCCTGATGGAAGCGTGATGCTCGAGCGTCTGTGGCTGGACAATGTCACCACGAGCGCCATCAAGTTTACTCCCGTCAACAGCACATCCAAGGCCACCATCTCCGGCAAGACGGTTACCTTTGGGGCTGGTGACTACGCCTTCTCGGCGGAGGTTGACTATCCGCAGTTGACCCAGCTGCCTCCAACCGAGGTGCTAAACAATGCCTCTACAGACCTTGCATCTAAAATGTCCGTTCAGACCACTGCGCTCTCGTTTCTCTCCTACTCGGAGAAACTCCTTGCTGGTGCATGGCGTTTTCTGACCTACTTTGGACGGGATCTGATGATATCCGCCTTGCTTATGGATCCTGTCATGAGCTACGGCAATGCCAGTGCCATGGAGGCGGTGCTGGGCTCCGTTTGTGAGCGCATCAACGCTACCGATGGCAGTGCTTGCCATGAAGAGACCATCGGGTAGGTGCAAGACTTGGATTGAAGATGTATAAGCTGACGCCCGGCTAGTGACTACGCGACCTGGCTGCATCTGCAGGAAAATGCCACCAGCACAGTGATGATCTGCGACTACAAGATGGTGGGTCTGCACCATTGCGTTTATAAGAAAATGCTGACCCTGCACAGGTTGATACAGACTTTTATCTCGCGCCCCTCATGCAAAGCTATTTTCTGAACAATCCAGTCGGCCGAACCAGGTGGCAGGCATTCTCGAGGTTTGTTCCATTTCTCCATGTTTATAGTGTTCAATCACACTACTGACGGATGTAGCACCCCTGCTGGTGCCATTAATGCTGCAAACAAGAATCACACTTGGGGTCAGTTGGCGCTTCGCACCGCCGAAAAGATCATGAGTCAGGCCGCATTGTTCGCGCACAAGCCTTGCAAAAAGAACCTGGTCCATTTGAAGCCGGGTCAGATCGTTGGCGAATGGAGAGACAGCACATACGGTATGCCACCTTCAAGGAAGCGAATCACAGTGCCTCCTTCTAAGTCACTGCAGGAATCGGAGGCGGCCGAATCCCATACGACGTAAACACAGCCTTGATGCCTGCTGCCCTGCGCGCCATCGCAGCTTTGTCCCGGGCCGGCATCTATCCTGGCCATCACGACTGGGCCGGAAAGGCAGACCAATACGCCCAGATATGGGAAGATGAGACTCTCCATTTCTTCGAGGTAAGGCCTGCGCTACTGCCGTTACCATACTTCGCCGACAGACGACTAACGGAAGTAGGTCACCATCCCCGCTGAAACAGCCAAACAACGTCTTACTTCCTACGTCCAAGCCGGCTACTTCCCCGGCCCCAGCGAAGCAGACACCATCGAATCCGACGTTGTCTTCCATTGTCTCGCCTTAGACGGCTACAACGACCTCTCCCAAGTCCAAGTCATGAACTCGGACGACTGCTTCCGCCACTTCCTCCTCAACACAACCAACCAGGCACAGCTCACCTCCTTCATCAACCAAACCGCCACCAACATCCGCCGCACATTCCCCGCCGGCCTCAACACTGGCGTCGGCATGCTCGTCGCCAACCCAGCCTTCGGGCCCGACGCGGTCTACGCCCGCAACTGGACAACAGGCGCCTACCACGGCACGGTCGTCTGGTCCTGGCAACTAGCAATGATGGCCAAGGGCCTAGAACGGCAACTGGGCCGCTGCGGCGCGGGCAACCAGAACGCGCGGCCAGACTTTTGCGCCAAAAAGGCCGTGTACAGCAACCTCCGGACTGCGTATAATACTCTCTGGGACGGGATCGAGGCAAATAAGGCGTTGCTGAGCGAGGAGGTCTGGTCTTTCGTCTACGGCGGTGGAAAATTCACGCCCGCGCCGCTGGGGAATATCCCTCCCCCTCCGGGTGTGGGTGCGCAGACTGGTAAGCCGTCGACTCCACCCATTCTCATCCTCCCCATCGCAAGCTAATACTAATGCTACTTCCTGACAGAATCGGACATTGTCCAATTATGGTCCTTGACGTTCCTGGCCGTTACCCGGAACGAGGCTTTTCGGTGATTGGCCCGTTTGACGAACCTGGGCTGCTTGCATATCATGCAGATGTGTGGGATCATTCATGAAATGTAGCGAACGTGTTTTATAGTGCTCGACCCCCGTGCGGTGGGTGTACATGGCTGGTTCGAGCGCTTGGCTCCGCACAAACAAGGGCCATCTACCTAGAATTTACATAACCGTGCTCAGATACCATTCCCGACATGCATTTTTGGTACAGTCATTCTCATTGTTGAGGCTTTCTTTCCGGGGGAGCGCACAGCCCACCAGGCAAATGCAGGATGGTCTATATGAGAGTCCGTTGAAGAAATCTAAGTACACAACAATACAGGAGATTGTCCCGATACGCTCAATTGAGAATCTGCCAGACAATCTCCGATACATGCGTCTGTTTACTATTTCAGGAAGTAAGCGGAGTCGAGGATAAGATGTACTCAGTCAGTCTCAGGGCAAACGTATGAATTGCTGAAAAGGTACATCCAGCTTGAATACCTCAGCTATTAATCACACAGCGTAAAGTCCTCCAGACCTGCATCCGGGACAGTTTCCTCAGGAAGGCAGAAGTCGACGTGTTCGCCTTTGAGGTTGGTAAACACGGCCGCGTATGCTTTCTGCAAAACTTAGTACAACACTGATTATATCGAAAGGGGACTTGGCATACCTCGGCGTAAGTGATAAACACATCGTAGATACCATCGGCCTTCATCCTCTGGCGGACAAGATCGGTGACTCCGCCGAGGAGGGCATTCACCGTTGTTACTTTGCTGTCCCAGGTAAGGAGGGCCGAGACGCCCTTTCCATCGACGCGCGTGGATTCGGTGCTGCCGTAGGGGTCTATGCTGTTATCAGTATTGATCGAGAGGTAAGAGCTGGAGGGAGACGTACTTTGCATCTTCTTGGCGATTGCCATGTTCCTCCACCAGGCGAGGCCAACGGCCTTGTCGAAGAGGACGGTTGGGAACACGCTGTACGGGGTGATGACGTCCAGTTCCTGCTGCGGGAGGAAGGCGACGGAAGGGATGCCGGTGTTGGAGATGTACCCGGTCACATCGCCGGTGGCTGGGTCGGTGATATTGTTGACGGAGGCGAACATGCCGGGGGTCTTGGTGACGACCGAGTTGCATGTCCGAACTCGTTCGGCGTTTTTAAAGACACGGCTTTGATGCGTTAGTCTTTGTTGTTATGTGAGCATGATTACTGACATACCGGATAATGTCGACGTCGTAGTAAGGCATTTCCAGGACCTTCCATTGCTCGTGGCTTGAGAACCAGTAACCTATTATCATCAGCGGGACTATCCTTTGCGAGCTTCGACGGCCGTACCCTTTTGCACAGTAATCGGCCCTACGAGGCCTATATGGTAGTCAACGCTCTGCAGCTGGGGCTGCTTTACAGCCCAGAGCTGTTTCATGTCCGCATCGGACAGACCACCAAAGAACTGGAGCCAGAAAGTAAACAGCTCCCCCTCGTAAGGATCGTTGAGCCGACCACTGCCTTCGCAGGTGTATCCTTGGTCAGGATGATCCACAGGCAGGGACTGGTTCTTGATGGTCGTTACGGCGCACACTTGGCCTTTGCCTTCATAGAAGATCTTGAGAAATTAGTCAGGACAACGTCACACGAGAGCGAGAAGGTCTTACCTTGGCTCCAGTGGTCTTGGTGTAATCCATCCACTTCTGCCACTCGCTGGCCAGTTTGGCATAAGATGATTTTCCAGTGTTTTCCAAGGCTTGAACAAAGGCATAAACAGCCCAGAGAAGCTCACTTTGGGAAGTTAGTTAACAGACACAGCAGCCTTGGAGTTGAAAGTACCCGTTGTCCAGTCCAGGAACACGATTGTTCCAGTCCCAAGTCGGTGTGAGGTCCTGGGTTGTGGAAGTGAACCAAGGAAGATAACCTCCAAACCCAGGAAATGTCTCATTGAATCTCAAGTATGTTTGCAGCTTCCTTTCCATAATCGAGACAGCAAGCTCTGGCGCCGCTGACGGATCCTGGGGTGAAAGAAAACGAGCGGCTTCCGGCGAACCAGCAGCAGCATGCGCATACAGCATTATTTGGAGCGACTGTTTCCAGCTGTTAGTATTAGCAATAGCAAGCCTGAAGACGGCTGACCTCTTTACTTGCGGCGCTGAAAGGATGCTTGACTGTCCTCTCGCCAGTGGTAAAGTCGATGTTGGTCCCGTCGTAGGACATCCCGTTATCCGAGTTGTACGAGACATTGTTCTGGTGGAATTTACCCTCCCAGTACAGCAGATCGGTGATAAAGTTACTGGGATCCTTCAAGATTTCCTTCTGCGTGTATTGGCGAGCAAACCGGCAGGATGGTTCGCTCGGTTTTTGAGGCAGAGCATCTGTCAAGGCAGCCCATGACAAAGCAAGATATGAAAGCTTGCTCACGCGCATACTGAGGATCTAGTATCAGACTGTGGGAATGCTTGAGGATTGATTGCAGTAGAAAATGGATGCGATATCCGTCATTTTATACGTATACAGCAATGAAGCAACCGACTGGTTGATTCTTCATAATTTGCTGTCGTAACCTGCATGTCTGCAACCCCGCAAAATCTCCACACTTTATTTTGTCTTGCATCGGTAATTTCTGTAATCCCTGGGCGCAGATCAACGGCAACGCAATTAGACTGGGAATGACCGTCCGGCTTAAACAAACGTCTATCGAGAGTCGGAGAAATGCCTGAGCAAATCTCCGCTTCGCGGCGAAACTCGAGAGAAGTTGCACGTGCTCTGTCCGCTCCATCTGCCTTCTTAATTTCTCCAATTCTCCTGCTTTGTTGTCCACTAACTCTCTTTATTGTCCGAATATGACTGCGACCCGCCCGTCTATCAGGGCCTGTGATCGCTGCAGACGAAGAAAAGCCAAAGTAAGCCATAGTTAATCAAGCATGCATTAGCCGGCAGGCGCATTGAGACCTATCGGACTAACTATCCACAGTGTGACGGAGAAGCAGCTTTGTCCACTTGCACAAGCTGTCGACGGGCTGGAGAGCAGTGCACTTTTAATTTGCCCGTTGCGAGACGAGGACCTAAGAGCAACAAGTCGAGACGTCATGCACCACCGTCCGCCGATGCTCATGGACAGGATATCGGTCTATCAAGCTCGCTCCACGCGGGACAACCTGCCACAACTCTGCAATTCTCCGCTGTCTCCCCTACGCCGCCCGGCCACGTTGGCTCTCTCGATCCCCGCACTCCGAGACCAAGCTCCCTGACAAGCTCGCCCTCTTGGACTACCGGCCTGGTGGACCCGGCACTGTCTCCCCCTGAAGAGCAGACGCCGTTGTCATCATTGCAGCGATGGCATCACTTGGCGCGCGCCCTTCACTTGCGCGATCCTGCGGCAGATCTGGAGCGGACGGTGAATCGGTGCTTTGACCTGTTCTTTGGATACTTGTTTCCCCTGATTCCGCTAGTCCATGAGCCCAGTCTACGTGACGGCTTACGTTTTTTTGTATCCCAAGCAGCTAGATCAGGTATTGGTGTGACAGGCCCAGAGCTGTGGTCATCTTTCGTCCGCGGAAATCCTATAGGAGTGGATAGCATTCTCGATCGGGCAAACAGCTTGAAATACCCGGAACTCTGGCCCGATTCGACCTTCACACTGATCACAGCCGTCTGTGCGGAAGCGGCATTTCTCTTGCCCAAGGACATTTTTCCCGAGGGCGAAAGGATCGCGGACTTATTCCTCAAGGCGTCTCGTAGTTGTTTGCACAGCTACCTTGAGGAAGATCTGGAGTACCCAAATGCGAACTCTGTGGCTATCCGCTACTTCCACTCCAACTGCCTACATGCAGCCGGGAAGCCTCGATTTTCATGGCACATTTTCGGGGAAGCCACCCGACTGGCACAGGTCATGCAGATGCATGATGAGATGTCACTGCAGAACCTGTCCGCGGTGGAGGCAGAGCTCCGCCGACGTGCGTTCTGGATCGTTTACATCGGAGATAAGTCAGCAGCAATCCTTAACAATCGTCCAATCACCATTCACAAGTTCTCGTTCGACACTGGCATTACCATTGCATACCCTTCTGGCATTGAGGATGGCACAGGAGTCTCCCCAGCCAGTGCCGAACCAGATTTGTCCACGCGAATGAGCTTCATTGCGGGATTCAACGCAAATCTACGTCTATGGCAGACAGCTTCAGACCTCATTCTCGAGATGCGGCTCCTGGAAAGCCAGAAGGAGGTAGGGATGCTCACTCCACGACTATTGACCGTTGAAGAACGCCACAGGCTTGGAAACTTATATGTCTCGTTCATCACGTCGTTGGACAAGTTGCCGCAGTATTTACAAACCGACACTCTATTAGCGTCGATCAACGACAACAACAGTAGTTATCGCCGAAAGCAGTACGTGATCCAGTGGGCGAATCTCAATGTTTCGCTTCACTGCTTGAGATTGGTCATCGACCAGAAACTAGAAGATCTGGGCTACTATGTAGCGGGAGTCGAACATCCCGATATGTCATTATTGAGGAAGACGGAAATAGCTCGCGACATGCTGCGAGTGATCCGAGAAGCGCCCTTTTGGTCGCTACAGGTAAACGGCGAGCCATGTGTATGTTTCTGATTGCTTATTTGTCTGCTTCATTTGGCTAAAAGCCCCACAGGTTGAAAAAATAAGGCTCATTGGCGCTAGCCTGCTGGAGATAATAGACCAATATGAGGCTTCTCCACTGTCGGTGCGAGCACGAAACGATCTTTCAATCCTTCTAGACATCCTCACTCGCCTGGATTCAAAAGCCTCAGACACCCTTAGAAAGCCTTCGTGAGGGATACAACGTCATATCAGAACCAAGGAGCACTCTGTCGTATCCTGATGGCCCGGACGAAACCCCGACGCCATATGAACGGCTGTAAATTGCTTGACCTTCTGGTAAGCTCACAACTCCGCTCGGAACACTTCAGGGGCTGAGGCGGCCTGCCCTTTGGGGCTGACACCCATTCGCTCTTCAAAAATGCGTTTCAGCAGCAGAGCAGATTTCTTGGGCGTTCTTTTCAGAGTCTGATAATCAGTGAATGTCACGCCGAATCGAGGTCCATAACCATCGGACCATTCTGCGAGGTACGGTCAGCCGCTATAGTCTCTTCAAGTATAGTCAGGAGCTCACCTAAATTATCCAGCAGCGACCATGCAAAGTAGCCTCTGACATCAGCACCGTCTTGATTAACAGACAGGCCCACAGCCTCTAAATGGTTCTCAAAATACCGGATTCGATACATGTCATTGACCGACTCGTCACAAGTCATCCGATCCTCTCCAGGGCAGGGACATCCGTTCTCGGTGACGAAGATTGGCTTTCCGTACAGGCGATACACTCTCGTGAGGTGCTTGCGAAACTTGTCTGGGCACGAGCGAAGCCAGTGGATACCGCTTGGTTCGCCAACCGACATCCCTTCGCTATTCTCCTGTAACTCATCTACATTGCCGATATAGTCCGTTTCGGAAGCTGGTTGATCGCGATGGCGAGCGAACTGGGATGTATAGTAGTTCATCCCGTAGAAATCACTCTCGGCTTCGCGAAGGAGTGCAAAATCAGCGCGGGAAAACTCGGGAAGGCGATCTCCAAGTTGCTCGCGCATGCAAATTGGGTAGTCTCGTGCCAGACTGCAATGGCTGTTAGCTGGGACGTACGCGTCAGAATCAACCAAGGTCTACTGACAAGATGGGATTGGCGAACCAGCCAATGTGGAATTCCATGCGACGCTCTGCAGCAGCGTGATCCCGCTCATCTTCTGCATTCCAAGGCTCATAGTAATCTCCGTTCAACGAAATCCCAATCTTTCCTTTCTGGACAGACCGAAACTCTCTGTTGTACAAGGCAGCGGCGCGGGCATGGCTCATGATCAGTGCTTTTCCGACGATCCAAGGCTCAGTCGCGGTGTTGCCATCGGTAGATTGAGGATTTATACTGCTTCTTCCAGGAGCATTGCCGCCGGTTGCGTATCCCTGGACGCCCGAGTCAGCTAACAGTTTCGATCTTGAAGTGAACGAGACTTACGAAAATGGACACAATCCATGGCTCGTTGAGGGTAATCCAATTCTTGACTCGGTCACCGAACCGCTCATAGCAGACCCTTGCGTACCGCTCAAAGTCTTTCTGTGATTCCTCGACATCCAACCAGCCCCCGTATCTCTCATGCAGCGCCTGCGGCAGGTCCCAATGATACAGGGTAACCCATGGTGTGATGCCCCTCGCTAGCAGCGAATCAATGAGCTTATTGTAAAATGCGACACCGGCTTCGTTTACTGGGTCCTCTCGGCCTCCTAAGGGGATTATACGCGACCAGGAAATAGAGAATCTGTACTCTTTCGCACCATAACGTGTGAGTAGGTCAAAGTCCTCTTCATACCGATGATAGTGGTCACAAGCGACATCGCCGTTGGCACCCTTGGTCCTCGTGGGCTCCAGATGGCAGAAGGTATCCCAGATGGACTTTCCTCGTCCATCTTCATCAACAGCACCTTCTATCTGGTAGGCGGCTGTAGCGAAGCCCCAGGTAAAGTGAGGGGGAAGAGGCGTAGGAGATGGCATGACTGATTGAGTGGAGGAATTGAGGAACGTACACATGGACGACGACTCAGAAAGGTCATGAGCGCCACAATTGCCGTCGAGCAAGAGAATAAACTTATACTTTGATTATTTCCGGTCAGCACGATCTCGTCGCGGAGTATCTTCCACGACGGCGGGGCCGCGGGGGCAGCAGATGATGTTTGTCGGCGAAATACTCCATACGTCAGATGTGATTTCTCCGCTTGATATCCCCTGATATTTCGCCGAAAACTAAACTTTCCCAGCAGAAGTGGAGTTCCCCACGGGGAGAAATCCATCGTGATAATCTTTTCCCTGATCTGTTCCAGAATCAGACGACCCCAATCTGGACTGTGGCTTGCATAGTCATGACTCCAGGATGGCTTCTGGTCTGATGGCCCTTCTATAAGAGGATGCGAACAAGTCCTGCATTTCTGAGCTGATCTATGCTGGTGCACCGACTTGTGGTGCATCTTATATCGTACCTTATTCTCTGAGGGACGCGTGGAGTCTCCGTGACAATGGCACCCGCTGCTGCCCATGCTGCCGATGGCATCCTATCACCAATTGATCTAAAGTCCATTCCTTCCTTCTGGCGTCGGAAGAATGGTATTTTACTCTACTTTCTGCTTACATCGTCCCTCTTGGCGAGTGCAGCTTTGGGCATTGATGGGGTGAGAATGCCTCTTCCGTTGTTATAGCACTACTAACACGAACTACAGTCGATGACGAATGGCATGCAGGTCTTGCAATCCTGGCAAGATAGATTCGGCCACCCGACCGGCTCCCGATTGGGATTCTTTGGAGCGGCCAACGCGATTGGAGGTGTCATTCCCTTTATCTTTCTGAGCTGGATTGGGGATAAGTTCGGGCGGCGTCTTCCTACGGCTTTGGGATCGGTGATCATTATCGTTGGGGTCCTCATTGAGTTCTTTGCCACCTCACTGGACATGTATATCGGTGGGAAGATCGTGCTGGGCGTGGGCTCCTCGCTCATCCAGATGGGTGCCCCAGTGCTGGTTACCGAGCTGTCTCATCCCAAGGAGCGAGTGCAAATCACCACTTTCTACAACACCTCCATCGTTCTGGGCTATGTGATTGGTGCATGGGCGACTTTTGGATGCTACCGCATCAACAGCCAATGGTCGTGGAGGCTGCCCACCCTGGTTCAGGTCATTCCGTCGGCCTATCAATTCTGCCTCATTTGGTTTTGCCCAGAATCCCCTCGATGGCTGATTGCCAAGGGTCGGCTGCAGGAAGCACGCGCGATCTTGGTCAAATATCACGGAGAATGTGATCCCAACTCCGAGCTAGTTGATTTCGAATGCACAGAGATTCAGCAGGCTATTGCAAAGGAAGCGGAGAACAACATGACATGGAAGGACTTTTTCTCTTCCGTGCCCAATCTCAAGCGGATCTTCCTCTGCTTCGCCACGGCAGTCTTCAGTCAGAGCTCGGGCAACCTGCTCGTGTCGAACTATCTTACGCAGATCCTGAAGGACACCGGCTTGAAGACCGAGTTTGAGATAACGCTGGTGAACGGCATGGTCACCTTGTGGCAGTACATTGTCGCGATCACCGTGACCGTGATAATTGATCGATTCAAGCGGCGCTTCTTCTTCCTCACCGGCTCCGGAGGCGTGTTGGTCACCTTCATCGTGTGGACCATTGCGGCGCAGCGCTACCTGGAAACCAGCTCACTGGCCGCGGGACGACTCGTACTTGCCTGTATCTTTGTTTTCCAGGCGTTTTACACCCTTGCCTGGACCAACTTGATCGTCACGTATCCCTTGGAGATCGTTACGTATCAGATGCGCGCGAAGACGTGGGCCTTTGTCTTGTTGACGATCCAGGTTTCATCCATCTTTGGCGGGTATGTCAATCCCATAGGGTTGAAGAATATCGGCTGGAAGTTTTACATCTATTACTGCGTATGGGTCGCCATCATCTTCGCTGTCGTGTACTTCTTCTTTGTGGAGACTGCTGGTCCGACGCTGGAGGAGTTGACGTACCTTTTCGAGGGTCAGGATGAGAAGATGCAGCTGACACGGAAGATTGAGGCGACTAAGCAGGATGTTCATGTATCAGAGCATGTGGAAAAGCTTGCTTGAGACCAGTAGTAATCCATCTGACCATATTATTATCTAACTATTTCATGCTGTCTGTCAATGCGCAAATTGACTCAGCAGGCAAGGCTAGATGGATACGCCGTGATATCATGCCCCAGTAATTCTGCGCGAATAATAATGGCGGTGACTAATCCTCGTACCCTGTTAAATGGCGGGGGTCGCCGAGTCCGCGGAGTTGGGAGTCACCCTCTTATCCCTTGATAAGAACCCACAATGCAACATTTCTTTGAACTTCTTCGAGGCCTTTCCCCTTCCTAAATGCAGGACACAACTTTCCCAGCAAAGTTCTCTTTGTGCAGAAATCCCTGCTCAGGAATCTCTGCTCAGGATGAGTGAGTCTCTCCTGGGCATGCGGGGAGTCGCCTTTCGGCTCTCCCCGCGCAGTTATCGCCGGCTAGTACCAAGGGTTCGTCTACACAGCAGAATTGCCACGGCTGCTGTAGAACCATCGACAACAAGCCAGAACACCCACCTTAGCTCTACAACCTACCCTCTGAACCCCTCGTCACCCTCCTCCGCAACCCCCCCCTCCCGATGGACTGCCCTCCGATCCGCAAGACCCTTCTCCGACTTCCTCACGGACACCTTCAACCGCCAACATGACTACCTCCGCATCAGCGTCACCGAACGCTGCAACCTGCGCTGTCTATACTGCATGCCTGAGGAAGGCGTACCGCTCTCCCCGCCCGCGCACCTCCTCACCACCCCGGAAATCGTGTACTTATCCTCGCTATTCGTCTCGCAGGGTGTGACCAAGATCCGGCTGACGGGCGGCGAGCCGACGGTCCGCAAGGACATCGTCCCGCTTATGCAGTCGATCGGCGAGCTGCGGCGGAACGGGCTGCGGGAGCTGTGTCTGACGACAAACGGGATCTCGCTGCATCGGAAGCTGGAGGATATGGTGGAGGCGGGGCTAACGGGAGTGAATCTCAGTCTGGACACGCTGGATCCGTTCCAGTTTCAGATTATGACGAGGAGGAAGGGGTTTGAGGCGGTGATGAAGAGCATCGAGCGCATTCTGGAGCTGAATCGAGCGGGTGCGGGGATCACGTTGAAGATCAACTGCGTGGTTATGCGGGGGATCAACGATCGGGAGATCCTTCCGTTTGTGGAGCTGGGGCGGGACAGTCCCATCGAGGTGCGGTTCATCGAGTACATGCCATTTGACGGGAATAAGTGGAGCCAGGGCAAGATGGTCTCGTACCAGGAGATGCTGGCGGTGATTCGGGAGAAGTACCCGTCTCTGGAGAAAGTGGTCGGACACAAGAACGATACCAGCAAGACGTATCGGATCCCGGGCTTCCAAGGCCGGGTTGGGTTTATCACGAGTATGACGCATAATTTCTGCGGCACCTGCAATCGGCTGCGCATCACCAGCGACGGGAACCTGAAGGTCTGTCTGTTTGGCAATACGGAGGTGTCGCTGCGTGATATCATTCGAAAGGAGAATGATGGCCAGCCGATTGATGAAACTACACTAAAAGAACTTCGGCTTCTTGAGTCTGCGGAAGCAGCCGCTCGCATTCAGGACGAGGGTGGGGAGGTCAATCAGAGAGAGCGAGAGCTCCTTGAGCTGATCGGGATGGCGGTTAAGCGGAAGAAGGCCAAACACGCTGGCATGGATGAATTGAAGAATATGAAGAATCGGCCGATGATACTTATTGGTGGGTAGGCGCGACTTGTTCTTTTCAACTTTTCATATACCCGTCTGCAGAGTATCGCACATTCTGGCGTTTGGCTTTCTTACTTGATTTACGATGTGACCATGATTCATCATGTATTTGATTTGGATATAAGACCGGTCTGGCACCACCAATGCTGATAGGAGGCTTAGATAGTGAACATGTCAGAAATACGACATTGACATCCAGAATAATCTCAGCCAATATCCCCCTTCACCTTCTGCATACTTCGCCGTTCAAACTCCAGGCTCGTCAATATCACGACAAGCGTAGCAAACCCCTTGACTCCCATCCAGAACACAAACTAGAAACAGAAACAGAAACCGAAACAAGATCATCACCATCTCTACCAACAACCTCCGACCCCGACCTCCCCCACCTCACTCCCTCCCAAACCGTGCACATGACCCAAATCACCGAAAAACCAATCACAGCCCGATCCGCAACAGCAAGCTGTCTCGTCCACTTCTCCAACGCACGCCCACACGAGCTGCTGCGCAAGGGTCTCACTAAGAAAGGCGACGTGTTCAGCGTCGCCCGCATCGCGGGGATCATGGCAGCCAAGAAAACACCGGACATCATCCCGCTGTGCCATCCCAGCGTTGGGATTACAGGCGTGGAGGTCGACATAAAGCTGGTTGACCCTGACCGTGGCCCTGTTTCGCAAGATGCAAAGCCGGGGACGAGGATGGGGCATGGGGCGATGCGAGTGGTTGCGACGGTTAGTTGTGCGGGCCGGACGGGGGTGGAGATGGAGGCGATGACGGCGACGGTGGGGGCTGCGTTGACGGTGTATGATATGTTGAAGGCTGTGGATAAGGGGATGGTGATTGGGGAGGTGCAGTTGTTGGAGAAGAAGGGGGGGAAGAGCGGGCATTGGGTGAGGGAGGAGCAGGTTGAGGTAGAGCCTTGATTGCATCTTTACGCTTATAGCTTTTTAGCATAAGCTAGTGCTTAATATCAACTCATCTTTCCCTGTGTGTAGTTTGCAGACTGGGATACCGCTCAAATTAATCAAGGCCGCCATTGCCGTTTGGCATTATCTGAACGACAATGAGGTTCCTCTGATTCCTTTGTGGAAATTGTGTCGAATCTGCGGAAGGTTTTCAGGCAAGTAGATCTTGAGTCCAATGGAGGGACAAGCCTCTTCGTTGCGGCCTGGGATGAATGGTGGCATGACTACATGCAATTCCAGCTTAAACGTTCTTATGACTGGATCCATGACAAGATCAGCAAGGTGCGAGAAGTGTGGGAGGCCCAATCTGACCAGAACCCAGTGAAACCATTGGTTCTGAGCAGCCTTGACCAGCTATCGGGGTACGCCTTTGCCATTGTTCATTATGACCATACAATTTTTCCCTGACGATCTGCGTATCGCACCCGATCATTCCAAGGAGGCCGAGGGTAATTAGGTCCGGATGTATAGGGTTTGTTGTATCCCTGCTGTGTTGACCCTACCGCTATCATCCCCACTAGCTAGAGATGGCCGTCTAGACCCCTTTTTCGCCGAGTGGTTTGATATATAACGATGTTGATCTCAAGAATCATCAAAATCCTTTGAGAGTCCAAAACTGTCTGACAGAATGTATGCTACCGAGAACACGGGGGACCTTCGCCAAGATAGACCCAACTCCCAAGGGCCCAGATCAATATGAGCAACTAGATGAAAAATGAGACGAGAATCATGCTAAATTCATGGCCAGCTCCAAATTGGCATTGGTAAATTAACAGGCAGCCTACCACACGTGATTTAGTAAGGATAACCTTCCATGGAGGCACAAAAAAAAAGGCACGTTGCCAGCCACATTACCGCATTTCTCACCACATCCGCATCCCTACAACATCATTTTAACAACTGCGCCATTCCCAAGGGTCTGCTAACCGATGCTACATTAACATTACTAACAATACTCTTTACCATGATAGGAACCGGGTGTCCGCTCCTAGAGTGTCTCTATTTTGGAGGCTCCCAGTGTTAATTGATTGAGGCTGAATAGTCTACAAGGGAAACTGTTCTTCTGCAGTTCCTGTCCAATTGCCTGATATGGATGCCACCAGCTGCTCTGGCAGCTTCTGGATTACTCCGGCATGCTTAGTGAATAATGTTGTGCCTTTGATACGGGGCATCAAATGGTTTATCCGTGACAATGGGCCACGCTGGATAAATGTTATCCAGTTGCTCCTGCGCGTAGCTGGCTAGCGCGCACATGGCAAGGTTGTCGGCGTTGCGTTGAACATAATACCCATTCACCTTCCTGAGATGCGCCACAAATTGTGACAGTCACTGGGGCTTGTGACCCTAGCAGAGCTATGAGGCTATGGCAGGAGCAGGCAGCAATTTGACCCAACAGGGATTCCCCGTCCCCGTCTAGTTCACTTTCCTTTGTTTGTTGAGAAAGCTCCCCCTCTTTCGTGGAACCTCATTTCCGTATACACCCTCGAGCTCACGGATAACACAGCCAAGAGCAATACAGATTCTAGCGGTACTGAGTGCGTAAATCGTATGGTGCCATCCATTCCAGGAGATTGCGCACACTTCAGAGCTTCCTCCATGCAAAGAATGATTCAGTTCTTTCTCTCAGTCATTGGGGTCTGTACTACAGTACTCTTCATGTGAGTGATTATTCCAGAGATGACTGGCCCCACTACTAACTGATGTTAGCATGTATAGCCCAAGATTTCTTTTCCGAAGCACCCCTCAACAGTCTATCAAACAAGGCAACACGCAAGGACAGGGCCAAGATGATGGGTATACCATTGACATCAACTATGGGACTAGTCTTGTAAAAGGTGTGTACCCTGACTTTCGAGTCATGAGGAAACGTCACCGACTCTTCGTGCAAGCCTGGCCCTCGAATGGTAAATTTTTGCGCAAAGAAAACCCCACTCCGGCTGATATGATATACATTGGCCTCAACCCATCAGAGTTACTGGTTCAACGATCAGCATCTCGGAAGGAGGAGGATGCATTTGCAGAGCAACTGCGACTCATTGGTGCTCAGGAGTGGGAAGATGAAGAGAGATGCGAAGAACAGTATCACAGTGAGGGTGAAGAAGTTGGCCTACGAAAATATTATCAATCAATCTATGGCTGGCCATCCAACAGCAAGGGTCTCTGGGTTTACGAGTATAATTCACTCCCCCGGCTCCAACCGCGTGAGCTGCTGGATGCTTTGCGTGATGTCCAGAATATGGATGAGCAATGTGCTATCCTGGAAAAATGGCAGGCGACGTTCTATGAGGATCCAAGTGACTATCCCCCTATTGCTGACCTTTTCAAGGATTAAAAAAGAGGTGAGCATAAAAGAAAGAAACTGTTATTGTGATTTTACAGTCTCCCCAACTCAAGTTATAATTTCATGTATTCTTTCTCTTCAGCTAGGAGAGGTAAATGCTTTCATCAATGGCCTGTATATTTTGCTGGATGGAGATGTCTTCTGCTTAGCTAATGACCATTTGCTTTCTGGATCTTCTCAGCATAGGTGGCGCTTTTATGGCATAGACAACTCCATCTTATTAACTACTAACCCAGTGTCTGGGCATGCTGGTTTAGGGAACTGTGATGAGATGCATTTATCTTGCTTGATCTTCAAATCTCCTGGTTCTCAGGACTCAGCATATTACGCTCTACCAGAAACTTTTGCTGTAGAACCGTAATGGCTGAGGACCTCTGCCAATATAGACCCAAGGGCCCAGATCAAGAAGAGCAACTAGATGAAAATATGAGGAGAATCAGGCTAAATTCACAATCTCAAGGTCGGCATTGGTAGATCAAATGGGCACCTACCACACGTGATATTGGTAAAGATACCTAAGGACTAAGGTAACCTTCCACGAGCCAGGAATAAGCAGAGGCACGTGTAGTTCTCACCACATTCCATCTCCACAGCATCATGGAGGACCTTCCCATTGAAATCTTGCGACACATTTGTTTTATGGTCTGTCTTCACCTACTCTCTGTGCTGACAGCATACTAACAAACCTCAGATCAAAACAGACTCCCCAGAAGCTCTCCCACTACTCAGATTAATAAACAGGCTGTGGAGAGAAGTAGTGGCTCCATTTTTGTTCGAAACCCTCAGAGTGAAATTCCGGAACCTGGCTGGGCTCCAGGCTACTGCGTCTGAGGTTAACCAAGGCAGAAGAGGGCAGACGTTTCTCAAATATGCCCGTAAATTGGATGTGGTTTGCCTCTATGAGCCGGATATTGAGACCAAAAAGGGAAGGCGTCTCTGGCAGATTAAAGACTGGGGGATGGAGTTTGCCGACTACATTCCGCCAGCTCATAGGGACACGTTCCTGGAGCACCGGCTCGGGGAATGCATCGAGTCAGATCTTAGATTCCTGAATCTGAGTGTTGATTACTATTCACAGAAGGAGTGGCAGCCGCTCATGTCGTTGATCGTGCGTCTTGAGCACCTAGAAGAGCTGAATTACGCAGCACACAACATGTTTCCTGCACCCGTTCATCAGGTCATCTGCCAGTATCATCCCAGGTGCAGGGTGAAAATCTGGTTCTTTCAGGACTTGAGCATTGATGTACCCGGCCTAGGAAGGCCCGACCCTGGATACAGTGCCTCAATGAATGATCCATTTGAGATTAGTGTACTCCGGTCCCCAGGTCTCCATACTTTTGCCGTGAATTACTTCACCGTAAACGATCCCAATGGAGGTCAAGAATTTGTTCATCTCGACGAGCTTCTTCCCTTTGTCTGCATGGGTCAAAACCTAAAGCGTTTAGCTATACGTGCTAGCCGTGCACCCAACGATGGTTCTATCATGAAAATCAAACAGGAATGGAAGGACTTCTCTGCTGATTTAAAGCCTGTCCCGGCAGCTTGTTTGGACTCCGTCTCATTGCACTTTGGATCTGGACGCGGGCCGTTGGAGGAGATTCTGCTGAAACTAGGGAATCTTATAGACCTAACTCGGCTCCGCTCATTGGATATGTCTATTTACTCTAGCCCGAGCTTGCTGGCCCAAGCCGCTTCGCTTTTCCACAGCTTAGAACGGCTGTTTGTTACCATGGACCCATGGGCCAAACCCAATGAAGACGTCAATGCGGATGACGAGGAGATGGTGTCCGCAGTCCGAGCTTTTGCTCCGTTGAGGTTCCTCTGTCTGCGCGGCTTACGCAGTACTTCTTCCCTCGATCACATCCTTCAGCACCATGGCACATCATTGAAGGGCCTTGCAATTGAGACATCGGAGGACGGACGGCTGTTTAGGTCGCCAACAATTTACGATAATGGATACAAGTACCCAGTTTTAGACAGTCAACATATTTCTCAGCTGGCAGACTGTTGCGCAAACTTGCAGGAACTTCGACTCCAGATCAAGCGCCAAGGAGGCAATCACCGAGAGTGCAACATATACAGAGCACTCAGTCAACTCACACAGCTGCATACCTTAATCCTGGATTTGCATTGCGATCCCAGACAGTCGCCCATCGGTCCTGAAGTAGCCAGCACTGCTTGTTTGCGAGAGACTCTGATCAATGCTGCGATGGATGAGAGCCTTGCAATGAGTATTTGGGATCTCATTGCATCAAGTCAACCCAGCAAAAGACTGAGAAAGCTACGGATCATACCATTCGGAGCGAACTTTTATTCGAGGGAGGAGAAGCATGTGATCCGGCAACTGAGTCATTCATTTCTTCTCACCAGGCCTGGTGTCTACAGCCAAAGAAACCCGGATCTGCGGGAGATTGGGAAGGAAGCATGGGAATTGTGGCGAGAGGAGGACATTAGTGAAAATGGCCGTCTACATATACCGCAGCAGGTCGAAGATCTCTTATATGAGCTCTGGCCGTCTACTCGGGGGGTACGGAACAAACACTGGGGCCAGTACTGGAAGAGCTTCCCTTTACAGACGGAGCGTCTGTGATACGGTCATTTTCATTGGTTACCACCTGGGTGATCGAAAGATACATGTTTGGAATCGATACCCCGATATCTTGTTCACTGAGTACGTGCAACTACTAGATATTTGACTAGATGTTCATGTACAGCTCCTCCAGTCTACCTAGTAATCTAAAAATCTTGATCTTTGGCAGTAAAAGTCGGTGGTCTTCATATAATCCGAGAAAGTTTTGGGGAAGAATCGGTGCCTATAAACGGGTGCCTACCTTACTCCTGAGCAACCACGGAAGCCAGGCACATTGCTCTAGTTGCATACTCAAAGAAAAGAGGAATAAGCTGAAGCTTGAGCACATGCTCAGTATCATAGAAGTCACTGCTGGTGCTCAGGTCCACATCTTGCATCTCCGGGTTCGTTCGCCCTGTGTTGATGTAATACTTGTCATCGCAACGAAGCCTAAATACCCCTGGTTCTAGTGATAGTTCTCTGTGATATGATCACTGCTCAATTGCGCAAAGGTAATCAGCAATTTCTCGTCTGAAAATATGGTCCTTAGCGAGTTGCTCAGCGGACTCGACAATCCATGTCTGGCAGTTCCTTTGTGTGACTCTCTTACCAATATTTCCTGCTGATAAGTTCTGAAGGTCTCTAGATTAGCTGCTATACATTATCCACGGAGCGTTCCTGGAACACCAAGGCAAGGGTTGCAAGAAAAATGTAGCTGGAACTTACGGTATCACTAGTTGTATTCAGGCTCTTCCCAGGGGCCTTGATCTTGTGCGCACTGGCCTCGAACGGACATACCGGGACATTGTCAATTTTGTACATTCCGTTGTTAAACATTTCTTTTTCATCAAAGTACTGGCCATCGACCCATTGCAGCGGGATTCTCTTCGTGGGGGGGATTTCAGTTGTGCGGAAGTTGCAGCTGCGCTTAATCTCGAACTTGAAGCCGTTCCTCACATCGCCAGTAGCGTGGATCTTGACTCCAATTTCCTTATTGCTGTGCGAACGCACCCAGTACGCCCAGTGGTCCTTGAAGGGATGACCGTTGTAGATCAGCAGTTCGACGAGGAAGGCCCCAGGAGGGCCTTGTTCCGCCACGGCCGGCGGTTGGGGTACTGGTGCAGGAGCAGGAGCCCCGCCAGCACTCAGTGGGGGTGGCGGAGGTGGTGGAGGAACAGAGCCAGCCTTGCTATTCTTAGAAGGGGTGGAAGACATGATGGTAGGACAGTTTGGTAGTTCAACTAAGAGCTAAGGGGTGATTCAGGCTTCGCATATTTAGGCTTAGGCAGCAGCTTAAGCGTATACTGACTGGCGATTGAAGAAGATGATTTTCAGCATGCCGTAACCGCTAACAATGATATCTAGGGTCTTTTGTAAATGTACTTGACTGTGCAGACCCCACAGAGATGGAGCTGTATAATGTATTGAAATCTTGAAGTATGCCTTACCAGTAAGGAACAGCCCTATCAATCTGAGATGTGGGGCCCGTTGAACCTTCTTTCTTAGTTGGGCAAGCTTCCTGATCCACCTCGGAAGTCCTCCTTTATCATTTCTTATCTCTTCCCTTGCCGCACTTTTTTTTTTCTTCATCACCAACACGATTAGCAGTCTATACAACGCAACCATCTCTGACTATTGAAAGTGTCGTTGAAATGGAATAACACACGCTTTGGACAGCTTTCTTTCAGGATCCATCAAAACAGAGACATTATATCCATAACACGACCTCGGACGAATTTTCCGCTTCCCACTATCAGCATCAACTAAAACCTCACCGCTATTCCCACCAACACAACAAAAGACACTCTACAGAAACCTGAGCCTCAAAGCAATGGACTATCGGACAAGATTACGAACCTTTCAGTTTGTCAAAGAATTCTTTCAAAACCCTTGTTGTGGCTAGCGGTGTGCGCTCCCACGGCAGGTAGAGAAGCACGAGCAGAACGTGCTTCTCAACCTCAAAATATTCTATTTTAGCATCACCAAAAGTTGTCCTGTTGTTGCGGAGGCACTTACACCTGCTTTTTTTCATCTCAGAAAGTCTCTGTCGAGATGATAGGTACGTCATTCCGGCGTTTGTTCGGTGTCTCATTATCAGCGATCGAGGGCTGACAGATTCAACAGTTCGACTTAGACGAACATGGTCTCGACCACTCGGTCGTTGCATCATGGCGGTGCTGCCACCATTCAACTTCCTCACCCTCCATTACGCCTATTTCATCGTCACACCGCTGATTTGCAGTATCATCTTCTGGGGTTCCGCAACTCCCTCACGGAGTGTTCATTATGCAGACGCGCTTTTCATGTGCGTCAGTGCCATGACTGGTGCTGGATTGAACACTGTACGTTCCATAAATCCATGCCATTCAGCCTCGCTAACTCGTTTCAGGTGGACCTCTCGTCCCTAAACACGTTCCAACAGTCCATTCTTTTTGCGCTACTGATCTTAGGACATGCCATTCTGATCTCAATCACGGTCCTATTTGTGCGCAAGAGAGCATTCCAGCTCAAATTCAAGACCATTTCAGAGAGGTCTGCCGCAAGAATTCGTCTCGGGCAGTCCACTCTGGGTTTCCTGAAGCCTGCGGGGAAGACCCAAACGCACACTTCGCAACCGGGAGAACCCCATAGTCCTGAGGGCTCCCAGGCGTTCGCCACGGAAAATGCCCCGTTAGAATCTTCCAATACGGCCGACGATGACCATATCGGATGGGGCGATGACGACCAAATCACTATTGGCCATATGCAGCCACGCCATCATCATCATCATCATCATCACCACAAAGTCTTCCCCATGGCAGGAGTGGGCGCTCGACTCGATTTGAATAACCATCCGAGAGATGTAGCTCCCACTGTACCTTTGGACGGAGAGTCAGACGTGATCCCCCGATTGAAGGGGATCCTAAGAGATACGGAGAAATACTTTGCCTCAAAAGGCTTCATCTCGCGGAATTCCCAGTTTCATGGTCTTACGCTTGAGGAGCGTGAGAAACTAGGCGGTGTCGAGTACAAAGCAGTTTCATTCTTGTCGGTCGTTGTTCTGCTATACTGGGCGACGTTCCTGATCATCGGCATTGCGGGGGTCGGTGGCTGGCTGGAAGTAAACCATCCAGAGATTCCTCGGGCAAATGGCCTGTCGCCCTTCTGGACTGGAGCTTTCTTTGCTGTTTCTGCGTTTGTCAACAGTGGAATGTCCCTTTTGGATGCGAATATGACCGCTTTGCAGACAAAGTAATTCACCTTTTGTCTGACTCACGAGGACAACGCTGACTAGCCACAGTGCGTACCCGCTTCTCACAATGGGCATGTTGATTCTTGCAGGGAATACTCTCTACCCCTGCTTTCTACGATTCATCATCTGGACCATGAGACGCTTGGTGACGAATCGGCCATCATGGGAGACTTGGAAGGTCACTTTGGATTTTATCCTGGACCATCCCAGAAGGGTACGGACTACTACGGCATTTTACCATAAGAGCTAACTGACCACTGCAGGTTTACACTAACCTCTTCCCTGTCCGCCATACATGGTACCTGCTAGGGACCATCGTTATATTGAATGGAATCGACTGGGCCTGTTTCGAGATTCTTGCGATTGGAAATAAAGAAATAGAGACACTGCCGGCAGGTTATCGTATCTTAGATGGGCTGTTCCAGGCTTTGGGTGAGGGTCTTCATAGTAATGCTCATCACCAGCTGCTAACCCGTCTGGTATAGCTGTGCGCTCTGGAGGGTTCTATGTTGTAACTATCTCGGAATTGCGCCAGGGACTACTTGTGTTATACGGTAAGGCTTGTAACATGAAATATACGTGTCATCTGCTAACAATTTGTAGTTCTCATGATGGTCAGTTTTATTGGTCATTCTAACCTGTCCAAATATCCAGCTAACCACTCTGCAGTATGTCTCGGCGTTGCCAGTATTGGTGACCATGAGGTTCGTCTCGTCCACTTATCATTCTAAGCTTCCTTCGCTAACTGCCGCAGAAACACCAATGTGTACGAAGAGCGCTCCCTAGGCATTTACGCCTCAGACGAACCGCTCGACGCACACGGGAGCCAATCCCCTAATATTGTCATGAGCCTAATCCGACATCACCTCCTCGGACGCCAGGATGTCTCAACGGTCGAGTCCTCGCGCAGCTACTTCGTTCACCAACAGCTCCGCTCTCAACTCAGCCATGACATATGGTGGATCGCCCTCGCAGTCTTCTTCATTGCCATCGCCGAGTCGCCACACTACTCCGAGGATCCCGTCGCCTACTCAACCTTTAACATCATTTTCGAGGTTGTCTCCGCCTACGGCTGCGTCGGCATCAGCGTTGGCATTCCAGGTAAAAATTACTCGTTTTGCGGCTCGTGGCATACCATCAGCAAGCTGATTCTGGCGGCTGTTACACTGCGGGGACGGCACAGGGGCCTTCCTGTTGCTATTGATCAAGCCGTAATGCTGCCGAATGAGTCGCTCGCTTGGGCGGAGGAGGAAGATGCTGTTCTGAGACGTGAGCAGACGCGTACGTATGGGAGTGAAAAGATGCCCGTGGGGACGGTTTAGTCTTCCTTTGATATCGTCCGGGTCGTTGCTACACGAGGCGGCTATACAATTTTTTTGTTCTTGCTTTTGCGTTGATTTTGCATGTATACCTGGCTGTGATGTTTACATATTACTGTAGATATATCATTCAAGCCATAGATTTCTCTACTTCATAGTCCACATGCATATTTGTTTGTATAATGACTGTTGTGGTCCCTTGATGTGTATGTGTACAATGTTCCCGAACCTTGCAACTTTTATAGATATCATAGCAGGAATTGTCCCGAGGTACAGGACTGGATGGAATGAACGAAACAAACACAAACTTAAGACAGAAGGAGGGTATCTAGAAGAAGATGTCCTCTACTCTTCCTCAAACTCTTCCTCTTCCTCCTCCTCTTCTTCTTCTTCCTCTTCCTCTTCTTCTTCCTCCTCTTCGCCAGATGACTCTTCACTTCCATCATCATCATCACTAGGCGCGTCCTCCATCATCTCATCCTCATCGGCCTTCTTCTCCGCGGCGCGCCGTTTCTCCTCCTCCCGCCGGCCCTGCTCCAGAATAGCAGCCTTCTCCTCCCTCAATTTCCGCTGCGTCTTGACAAACGCTCCCAAAGGCGTCGATTCCCAGTCCACATCTTTCAGGAAGGTCTCGACCTCGGCGCGATTGCGCGGCGTATACGTGACATTCAGCCTCTTCTCCTCGATCCAGCGCGCGTTGGCCTCGACCTTCTGCACAAGCAGCAAGATGGCCTGGTTGACCTTTGCGTTCTTGTTGCCGGCCGTGCGGGAGCCGACCTGCTTCAGCCAGCGTTTCAGGGCAGCGACGATAGGGACGGAGAGCTCGGGGAAAGCGATATGTTTGGTCCAGAGGACGAAGAACTCGGCGAGCAGCTCGGCGACCTGTTCGCCGACGCCGTCCTGATAGATGCGGGTGCGGAGGTAGGATTTCGGTGCGCGGATGGCGGTGCTGAAGTCGAGTTGCTTGAGGGTGCTGGATTTCGGGGGCTTGCGCATCTCGGCCGCGTTGAGGACCTCGAGGAGGGCGGGCGCCAGAGGCACGTAGGTGCCTGTGGCGCGGGAGAGGCGGAGGAGGGCGCGGGTGAGCTGGAAGCGGAGCGGGAAGTAGGTTGCGGTGGGGATGAGGCGCATCGCGCCGAGGGTGATCTGGACGACGGGGTAGATGAGGGGCCGCAGGGCAGATTGTTTGCCGACTTTGGCTTCGACGAGGCCGTCGCAGTGCTGGGAGAGGACGCGCGACCAGAAGTCCAGCGAGTGCGTGTACTGCCAGTTGTAGATGGTCTTGTAGGATTCCTTGGAGGTGTTGGTGATGCTGCTGCGGAGGTGCATGGCGAGTTGCCGGATGAAACTGAAGCCCGTCGTGTACGAGATGTTCTGGTCGATGCCCCAGAGCTCGGCGGCCGAGTTCTTCATCAGGTTGACTCCGGAGAGCGTGTGGACGGTTGTGTTCCGGCTGCCCTTGACCACTCCTTCATACGAGGCCTTGAGGACCGTCTCCTTGAGCCCAGAGTCGCCAATGACCATGAGTTTGCGAAGTAGCAGGAAGCCTGTGATCCGGGTTGCCTCCGTCGTCGACACATCGGCCCAGATGCCCACAATAGTCTTGATGAGAACTTTCAGGAGCTTTCTGAACTGGAGTAGATAGGGGAGCATCGGTTCGATGG